CCTAAAAAAAAAAAAAAAAAAAGGTACCTCATTGCTCCTCCTTGAGGCCAGTTTATGTCCTAGACCCCCTTCTCTGCTCCCTTCTTGGCTCTCAATCCCCAGCAGGTCTATGCTTGAGGAGCCCACACCAGTCCGTAGAAAAGAGAGCTTTGGAGACATCCGGTCCCACAGGCCAAAACCAGGTGGGCCAGGGGTGCAGGTTTGAGGGCATAGTTGCCTGGGAAGCCAAAATCCCTCAATGCACAGTAATTTTAAACATTATTTTAAAATGCAAAGTTATGAATGAATTATGGGTAGAATGAAAATCTTGCATGATTCTTCAGCTAAAAGACAAAACTTCAAAGAATTTTTAAAAGACAGCCCTAGACCCTCAGCTCCCCAACCCTTCTTCCACCAGAAACTATTGGTCTCCTCTCATCTGGAGCAAAGAAGAGTGAAGAAAAGTCATTTGGAAACAATAAGTCCAAAGATAGGATGGACCACGGGGACCTCAGCCTTCCTGACCCTGAGACTAGAAGAACTAGTTGGACCTGGCTCCCAATGCCAACTACACAGAAAGGGATCAAAATTGGAGATCCTGGATAGAGTGGGATGAAAAATGTGGGCCAACAGTCAAAAACACAAAAATGACCAGAATTACTAGTCAGATAGAGACTGGTAGAACCCCCAAGAATAGAGAGCCCCAGGTTATCCTTCAAGCCTGAAACTGGACTCACTTCCATGGGTTAGCTCTCAGCCCAACAGTAGAAAGACCTACAAGCAAAACACCTACCCCAGGGAGATGCATCCACCTACCCTAGGGAGATGCACCCCCTAGAGACCATGAGAGGTCAGAAGGGCAGCACTCACGTAGAGGGAAAGCTGTACAGACAGGAATGCATAGATAAGAAGGACACAGGGAAGGGGTGGTCACAGGGAGGAGAGGGGAGGAAAGCTTTTTATGGTGGGGATCGTAATACGTAATTCGGGCTGTGAAACCAAATGCATGTGAACTCTTGTGAGTAAAATGAATCTGCTTTGTAAATGTGCACCCAAATCACAATTTTAAAAATTTAAAATAAAAATATAAATGGAAAAAAAAAAAAGAATTACGTCACATAAAATAATTCAGGTTGGCACGTGGCCTTTAACACTTGCTGCAAGTCTCCTCTCAACAAGCCAAGTCCTGTGCCCATCCAGAGGAAGAGTGTTTCTGTTTTGTTTACTTTGTATCTGCTCACCAAAGAGTGTGCCTACCTGGAAAGGCAGCTTCTAATTCCCATAAAGACATCACATGGGCTGGGGTGCCCTGTGTCTTGGGTCCCCTGCAGCCTCAGCTACCCCAGGAACCATCAGGAAGGCCATGATCACCACTAGAGGTGAGATCCCACCTCCTCCACCATCACCTCTGTCCCCTCCAGCCAGCCCACAGCCCATCCTCACATGTGGCCCTGGATCACTTTCTGCCAGACCACCATGCCCTGCTGGAGAAGGAGCCCACCTCCTCTACTCAGAGAGGCTTCTACTTTCTCTTTCCTCCCTGTCAGTCAGGTAGGGCCACCTGCCCTCACAGAAGGTACTGTTCATCTCTACAGCCAAAAGTACTGCTCCCTCTTCACCTACCCTTCGAGAATTATCTATAGCCAAACCTTCTTCAAGGGTATTCTGAGGAACACAAGTTCCTGTGGGTGTTAATAAATAAGTATGGGGTTGGGGCATCAGGAGAAGTTCTGTGATCAAATAAGTTTCAGAAATTGACAAAATTACGTAGGTTCTTTCTCACAGGACTCCCTAAGATGTTGAAGTACACAGTGAGTCTCAAGAGGGGGCTCTAGGACCTGCGACTCCCACACCCACTTGACCACAGCCCAATATGTAAGCCAAAATGTAAACTCTGAGGGTTAGCACTGTGTCTGTTTTTCCACTCAAGCATCTCCAGAGCCTAGAAGTCTGCCTGGCACAAAACAGATGCACGCTAAATGTTTGTTGAAGGAATGAGGAAATAACTAGAGTTCTCGAGGTCAAGGAACTCAGAGCATCTAGTTCAACTCTGAGGCCGAGAGAGGAAAAGTGACTCGTCCAAGGTGACACAGGTGGGACTGATCCAGGTCTTCCCAGCATCCAGCCCTGCACTCACACTACAGCAAACCAAACCAAACCAAACCAAACTCACTGCCATGGGGTCTAATCTGACTCATCATGACCCCCTTTGGGTTTCCAAGGCAGTAAATCTTTACTGAAATAGATTGCCCAGTCTTCCTTCCGTGGAGTGGCTGGTGGGTTTGAACCCCCAGCACCTGGTTAGCAGTCAAATGCCTTAGGCACCACACCACCAGAGCTCCTTCACACTATAGCAGTGGTTCTCAAACCTTAGCATGCATCAGCTGAACTGGGACAGCTTTCTGATTCCATGGGGCTCTCGTGAGGCCAGGCCAGACATTTTGCCTTCCTAACAAGTTTCCAGGTGATGCTGCTGGTTTGAGAACCACTTTCTCACACCATGTATCTCTCCTTTGCTAGTCTTGGGTGCATTACAAGGAAGGTGCCCAGGAAGGCATTCCCTTGAGCACATGGTCCCACTAAGACTCTGCTTCCAGGAGCTGTGGCTAGAGGAGGCCAGGATGCATTGCCTCTCCCCAGCCATTCCTGCTGGTCTCAGCCAAAGCTCTCTTTGAGAACCTCTTCCTCGACCCCACCCCAGCACCCAAACACTCCAAGTCTTGCTTGTATCTCTGTGTCCCCATCTCCCAGAATGTCCATCTTCCTCTCATCATTCTCTTATCTAAATTCTACCCTGTCCTACCTTCAATGTCCAGCAAAACTCCCGACAAAGCTTTCCCAGGCCACCCCAGCCCACACTCATCTCTCCCCTCCCAGAATGCCTCCAGCTTTTATAATTAATACCACACTGTTTAGTGCTTAGTCGTTCCAGGATTGTTTTGCATGTTTGTGTTATCTCCACAATTACATTTTAAGTTTTTTAAAGGGAGGGATCTTATCTAAAATGTCTCTGTGCCTCACAGAACCTGGCAGACCACTAGGTGGGCACATAGCAGGTCACTAGGGAGCCCCTACTGTGCAGCCCCCAGAGAATCCTCTCCCTTCCTTCTCCAGGGCCCCCAGTTTCCAACTCCTCCCCCACTCACCCCCAAAGGCTCTCTCTTAGGAATGCAGAATCAACCCCGAGGTAGCATTCCAGCAGCTGGGACTTATCCCCTTCACCCGGATGGATGGCTGGACACCCCCTCTGCCCCCAGCAGCTGTGCCCCAACACTGTTGGCTGCCTCACTCCCTCACCCTGGCCCCCCCATCCCTGACCTTGGTGAGAAGAAATACCTCCAAGGGGGATTAGGTTGTCACCAGCAGATAGTGAGACCTGGGGGTTTCAGGGGAGAAGGGGAGAGGGCAGCAGACAGAGAATGAGCAAAGTGCCACTTGAGGCAGAATGACAATCCCAAGATGGTGGTTCTGGGGCTGAGTAAGGAGGAGGAAGCAGGGGGATGGGGTGTTGGGAGATGGGGGCGGGCCTGGGGCTTGGAAAGGGGAGGAATGTGTTCAAGAGATGCAGCCAGATCCAAAAGGGAATCATCCCAACAACAGCAGCAAAACTATTTCAGCCCTAGCCCAAGAGAAACACACTGAGAAGGGAGGACGCCAGCAGGAAAGGGGAGGGAGGAGGAGGCAGGGGAGCACAGGGGTGGAAGGCCACCTGGGGCTAGCAGGGCACGACCCACCACCAGAAGCAATGGTCTCCCTGGCTCGGGAGAGAAGAGCACTGTCGCTAGGAGATGGAGGCACTGGCTCCCCAGGGGCCCAGGTGGGACCAACAGCCTACCTGCGGCCCCAGCTGAGAATGGGAGGTACTTAGATTCTCTGACTCTCTCCTTCCCTTGTGTCTGCTTACCTGTCGGCTTCCCTGTGGACTTCCGGAGCGGCCCCCGCAGGACAAGCGGTGAGCAGCGAGTCCTGGGGAGTGTGCCAGGCTCTGGAAACTGAAATGGGGGAAATGGACATTGTGTGGGCCAGGGGCCCCACTCAGCCTGCTCCAGAGAAGAAGAGGATCCCCTCACGCCCCCTTAAATAGCTACTGAGACTTTGAGTGGCCCAACCCAGAGCCAGTGGTCCAGGTGGTCAGGTGTCTACCCCTCTCTGTGCTTACCTTTTGCTGATCACTGTCTCTCCAGGAAGTGCCTGAGGGCTGGTGGGGGGTGGGGTAGAGAAGGGGCTGTCAGGCCTGGAGCTGAGGGGGGTCGGACTGGAGTAGGGGGACCGGAAGGAGGACTGGCTGTCAGTGTGGGTCCTCACAGAGCCCTGTGGAGAGAGAGGTCAGGAGAGCTGGGCAGCTCTACCCTGAAGAGGCCTTGTCCCTCAGGCCTTACCCCTCACTTCAGGGTCCTGGGGCTCCTAGTTGGCAAGACAAGAAAAGACATCTTACCTGGAATCGAGTAGCCAACAACTCCAAGGGGCTCTCCCCATTGGTCTGCCCTGGAGAGGCAGCCTGAGACCTGAGGAGGTAACCGAGGGAGGAGAGGATCATGCTAAGCTGGTAGAGGCTGCAGAGTTCATGGCCACACTTTCCCCAACTGAGGACCTCAGAACAAGTAAATATCCAAATTGGACATTCAGTTGTCAACTTTTCACTTTGCCAAATTCAAAACGAAGAACTATCATCAACTACTACTATCATTTATTTAAAGAAAGGACAGTTTTAAGCAACACCAAAGAATAATGTAGAATCTACAAAGCACCGCATAATGTTGATGAACTTGGAGGACATTATGCTGAGTGAAATAAGTCAATCACAGAAGGACAAATATTGTATTAGTTCATTATTGTAAAAAGTCAAGGAAAGGTTTGTACATGGAAGAAAACTTTCTTTGTTGGGTTACCAGGGGTGCGAGGGGGAGGGAAAGGAACACTGCAAAAATAATAAATAAATAGATAGATAAAGGAAAAATTAAATAAAGAAAGGACAGTTTAGCACCAGGAAGTAAGAAAGTAGGAAGGCTATAAGTTCAGAAAAAGTCATTTAAATCCAATCAATTTAATTAAAAATTCCTAACATTACCTTCCCCCCTTTCTTTTTCCTTTTATTATTATTATTTCCATTTCAGCTAGACATTGTCACTGACTAGCAGGTTGTAGAACATTTTTGGGGGAGACTGTTCATTTCATACAACCCCTTGTATCTTATCCATGGAGAAACTGAGGCCCAGACAGGAAGAGGGTGTTGCCCAAAGTCCTAAAGCTAGTCGGTGGCTGGGCCAGTTGCCTACTCTTCCTCAACCAGATGTCTGTCTGCCACCACCTTGGCTACTCACGGCTGGAGGCCTTTGAGGGGGTCACTCACTGTCCCTTCTCCCACAAAGCAAAGGGTGGAGCCTGCCTCACTTCTCTCCAGGCAGGCAGCTGAAGGACCAAATCTGGAAAGCCAGGGCCAAAGACATGCCCAGCTCCCCACTTCCCCCACCCCAGTCACAGTCCACAGGGACAGAAGTACTCCCTCCAGCTCCCCAGGGACCTCCTTCCAAAGCCAGGCTGGAACCACTAACAGGAAGTCATCAGAGGGCTAGAGGGTGAGGAGCAAGCCTGCAGAATCCCACTACAACTGCCATTCTTAGATGTCTGGCTGCTTCTAAGCTTCTAGAGAAGTCAGCAGGAGCCTTGCGTGGCCTCTCTGGGGAGGGCTGTAGGGTCAGTCTGAAGGGAGCTTGAGTGCTGGCTCCAGCACAGAGCCTGCTTCCTACCACAGGGCTTCTGAAATCTTGACAGTTCTCCTGGGGGCTTGGGGTGGGGGGGGAGTCTTGGCACAAGAGAGAAAGGAAGGACATGAAGCTTTAACTGGCCAGGTGTGGAGCTGGAGGCAGAGGGAACACAGTTAGGCCCAACTCCCTGACACCTCTGGCTCCCTTCAAGAGGGACCTGAGAGGAAAGGCTGGTGTCAGCAATTCCCACCCCTCCCCCACCCCAGACTGTAGATTTTGGTCCCATTCCCAGATGCCATGAGGTACTTTCCACCCTCCTTCTCTGGATCCCACTCATGCAAACACTCATGGTCCAGAATGGCATGAAGGAGTCACTAAAGGGGCTGGGGCTGCAACAGCATCCTAGACACCAGCTCCTGCAGCACAGCCAGGGCAACAGGCAAGGCAGTGACAGGGAGACAGAGCCAGGAGAGCCTGCTGGTAGTGGGATGGGGTTGGGGTGGGGGTGGAGAGGCAAAAGGTGTCTGACTCAGGTTCAAGGCCCGCCCAGAGGCTCTCCTGGCTGGGGGAATCTCCTGGCATTCCTGACCTGTGACTCGCTGAGATGCCTCACCCCAAGGAGCTACCTGTTCTCTTCCCCTCCCCCGCAACTCCTGCCTCCAGGCTCAAAACCCCACAGCTCTGGAATCTGTGTTTACCAGCATGGCTCAGAGTGGTGATAAGGAAAGACAGAGTGGTTCTAGGGGGAATGATGCCCCCAAAATACTTGACCTCCACTTGGGATCTAAACAAAAGCCATCCCCTCTTGGAGGGAGGAGTCATGAAGACCTAGCCTAAGGCACACCTTACCCAGAAGTTTCCTCTCTTCAACCCACTTGATGTCCATGCCCTGTACCCTTCACACTCTTGGGAACCAGTCAAACCCGGGCGTCCAGGTGGCTGGTGCCAGCCGGCCCTGCCCTGCCTGTGGCTGCATGCCTAGCCTGGCACCCACCTTCACCCAACTGGGCACAGGGACACCTCTCAACCCACCCTGCATCTCTCTCCCCTGTTGCTGGACCCAGAACCCAGGACCTTGTACAGAAAGGGCCCAGGGAAGGCCAGTTTGGAGGTGATCCTTAGGCTATGGGCAGTGGGGTCAGGGCGGCAGCTTTGGCAGTGAGCTGGCGGAGAAGAGACAGACTATTGGGAGGCCCAGCGGAAGGTGGGGTTCCTACCGGTCCAGCTGCAGCCGCAGGGGTGAGGGGCTCTGGCGGATCTTGCTCTGGGCCTCAGCATGAAGCATGCCCTCTGCACTCTCCCCATTAATGGCCACAATAATGTCGCCAGGTCGGAGGTCAGCAGCTTCGGCCTTGCCCCGCTCGGTTACCTTTAGGGGACGAGGTGCTGGTGAGTCTACGGTACCCATGCTCAAACCCTGGGGTGGGGTGAGGGATGGAGAAAAGGGGATTTCCCTCCCTCCTGCCCAAGAAACACCGAAGCTTGTTTGGACTAAGCTGGCCAGCCTCCCCCTTTAATGTCATCCCTGCCCTAGTCCCTCTCTATCCCAGGACTGCTGCTCCAGGCCTTGCACTCAAACAGCTATCACCTAATCCCCTCCGAAAAACTGGAGTGGCAGCCCCACCCCAGCCCTGGAGCACTGCCATTCTAATGGGGGCCTCCCAAAGAATGTGTAATGGCAGGATTTCAGGAGCTGTGATTGGGAATACCTTGGCTAAAGAGCCCTGCCTGTGCAGATCACACCTTGCAGGTGGCTGCCTATACAGCCAGGACCTCCTGGTGAACACTCCCCAGCCAAGGCCTGGGTCAAGAGAAAACTAAGAACTCAGGGGCTCTTGTTCTAGTAACTACTCAAAATGGCTGCCAGGAGGTGTGTGGTTAGTGAACCAGGAGAAAAGAGCAGGCCCTGTACTTAAAGCCTGTTCCTGAAGTGGCCATCATGTCCCTATGGCAACAAGGCCTGGCACTTTCCCCACTCCCTCCCCACCAACACTCCCAGAAGCAGGCCTCTGGCTCCAGAACAGGAAAGATGTCTGTGAGGACCACAGTGGACAGGGCAGACCCTAACTTTTAGAGTCACTTCCTTGTCTCTTAGAAGTAGCCCTTACCTTGGTCACCATGATGGGTGTGTGGAAATCCCTGCCCCCTGTGATACGGAAGCCCCAGGGCGCTGGCCCCACCACATCCAGCGTCAGCATCATACCTGAGGAAGACAGGACCAAGAGGTGGAGACTGCCCCCCAGTGCAAGAAACGCTGGAAGAGGGTGGGAGAGAGGCAACTGGGAGAAGAAGCAGCAGTGAGAGGGCCACAGAGCAGCCAGTCAGGGACTGGGGGTGGATGGAGTGAGCAGCGGAAGTGACTAAATCCCTCCCTCACCCCCCAGTTTCACTTCCCCCCACCCTGGGAAGCCATGTCTGAGTTCCCCCTTCCCATAGTCTTCAGCAGAGCAGCTCCCAGGAGTCAGGCTGTCCAGGGTGCCAGTCAGGGGCTTGCTGGAGATGGGTGGGCAGGGGCAGGCCAGTAGTAAAAGGTGTCAGCACTTCCTCCTGCTCCCCCTCCTCCACCATCAGGGCTGTTAAGTCTTAGTAGTGCTTACTTCCTGTCCCCAAAACCAACAGCAAAAGGTACTTCCTCCCCTCTTTAGGGGAGGGCAGACAGTCAGCCTGGGGAGTGCAGGGATCTGGGAACAGGAGTGACAGCAAGGAAGGGGAATGTCGCTGCCACAGACTGTAAGGAGCTGACTGGGTGGGGGCTGGCTGAGTAGAGGGTCTTCCTGGCTGCCAGCCAGGCTTTGGCAATGCAAGTGAGATGGGCAAGGCTCCACCAGAGGCCTCCTGCTCTCTGAACAGCCCTAGCAAGAGGACAGGGCTCATCTGCCAAGCTGGGCACACCCACCCCTTGGTGCTGGCCAGCCAGGCAAGGGCAAGCTGACTCCTCACCCCCTCAGCCTGGGAGCCAGCTGATGCTGAGTGCCAGCTGGGACCTCAGGCATCCCATCCACAGGCCCCTCCACTGGGCAAGGGAGTGTCCTTGCAGACCAGGCCCTGGTAGGATTTCCTGAACCTCAAGTTCTGGAACCAGGAGCCAACCCAGGCAGGAAGCTGCAGTGCCAGGCTGGGCCACCACCCTGCCCAGAACCCATCCGGGGGTTGCCCCTGGGGAGCCCCAGGGACTGCAAATGCTGCCAGAATCTATCAAGCACACCAAGGCCACTTTCTGCTTTTAGGATCCTGGGGAGGGTGTACTCAGGCAAGCACTTCTGTCTATCCTATACCCTGTTAGCCGCGGTCTCTCGCTGGGCCCCCAGGTCAGAGCTGGCGGCTCCCGGACGCATTGAGACTCCCAGACCTTTGAGCCGGCCAGTGGACTCCGCGCTGAGAGCGCCACAGGGAGGTGGCCAGCCCGTCAGCCCGGCTCTCCCAGTTCTGGAGCCTCGTACGCTCCGGGGCCAAAGTACCCACAGGCCGGGGGCCGGAGGGGTAGCACCGGATCGGGACGCCAACACTGAGGCGAAGCTGCAGGGAGAAGGGCTGTGTGCGGAGAGAAGGTTCCAGGACGCGGAGCGCTGCGGGGAAGCCGGGGAAAGCCCTGCTGCCCGAGGATTTGCTGGGAGGTCGCCAGCTGTGCAGAGGGTGCGCAGGTGGGCGCGCTCACCTGGCTCCGGCTCACCTGTCGGGCTGGGCGGCCAGGCCCGGGAGGGAAGGGAAGGAGGGAGGGCGAAGAGATGCGGCTGCTTTTGCAGCCGCCGCCGCTGCTGTCTGTCCGACTCTGGGGAGAGCCCGCCCGGGGCTCCGGGACCTGCCTCCGCCCATGTGATCCCGGGGCCGCCCCTGCCACCGCCCCTGGCGGGGAAAGCCGCCTCCTCCGCGCAGTCTAGCCCTAGCGCTGCCACCCGGCTGGCGCCCCGTGGTGGGGGTGCGCTTTGGAACCCCCCATAGGCTGCGGTCTCTTTCCCAGAGATTCTTCATCCTCTCAAGTAACCTCTCTTGAGTGCAAGGGAAACTGTCTAAAGACAGGCCCACGTCCCACCTCGAAGACAGCGGAGGCTCTGTGCCCTAAAGCTGTCCCAGGCCGGAAGAGTTCCACACACCCCCTTCAAAGGGTCCCTCGAGCACCCCCTACCAAAGTCCGGATCAGGGGAGGGCTGGCTGGGTCTGCCTGCGGTCGGCCTGGCTCCTCCGCCCACTTCCAGCCCAGATGCTGGCTCAGATGCAATCTCAACACCCACAAGTCCAAACCCGGGGCCGCCCTCCGCAACTAACTCCGTTCCTGAACTGACAGCATCCTCACTTGGCGGTGGCCGCAGAATGCTGCGGCTCCGCAGGCAGCACAGAGCTTCCCAGTATTGCGGGATCCAGGTGGTTGCCCTGGGCCGCCCAGCTTGATGTTCCCCACAGCCCGCCAGCATGGGCGATGGGCGACCCCTGCGGGCCCAGGAGGAGAAGAGAAGAGATTCCTGGCTGAGGTTACAGCAACCTCTTGTGCTACCCACTTCTCTCACTATTCTGGGCCTTTCCCATTCCTATTCTGGCTGCCTTTATCTGACCTGATCTGCCGCCCTGCTTGGGTTGGGTCAACCAACAATTACCACTGGCCCTGCCCCCCATGCCCTCTACCCACCACCTGGAACCCAGGCTCTAGGAGGGGACAGCCATGGAGGTGGTCCCCAGGTGCTAGCTCAGGAAGGGGCAAACCATCTGGCAAATGGTTCCTGAGAGTCATAGCTGGCAGCCCTCAACTGGGGAGCCAGTCCTGGCATCTTGCATTGGTCTCGACGCCACGCTTTCTCTGTCAAGGGAGCACACCTTTGAATACAATTGTAACTTGCCTGCCTCAGCTGCGAGCCATTCTGAGTTCTTTCTGTGACAAGGGCCTTCAACACCTCTCTCCACCTTCCCATGCCTGGCCCTGTGTCTGGTCCTCCCTGGATTCAGCCAGCCACCTCTAGCACTGGCTACCTCCCATAGCCTCCATCCTTAGTATGAGTAAACAACTCTTAGTAACTAATCCCGAGCCTCCTGCTATGGACACTTTTCCTGATGTACCTGTTCTACCTTCCCAACTAGAACAGAAGCCTCTTGAGGGAGCAGGAAACCGCAGGTAGGACAAGCGCAGCCTCAAGGTCCTGGATTTACCTCTTTCTGGCTGTGCAACCTTGGGCAATTTCCTTAGCTCTTCTGGGCCTCTGTTTCCCTATATGTAGAGTGGAGATAATGCAATCTTCCCCTCCTGTGGTGCAGATTGCCCACCTGTAAAGAGCTTCCAGCACACAGGTTGTTTTCTCTGAGGGCAGGGTTTTTGTTTGGGTCATTGCTCCATCCCCAGAGCCTAGCACAGTTCTAGGCACATGGTAGGTGTGCAGTGCATATTTGTGAAATGAGTATTGTTCAAACGATTGAATGAATTTCCCTTCCTTCTTCCTTCCCCACCCCTCATTTATGGCAGGAATTCTGTTTTACCCATCCTTACATTCCTGACTTTGCCTTGGACAGTCTCAAGAAGCATCTATAGGTTAATCCACCAAGTTTGCTGCTGGGTGGATTGTACACTCACAAAACCAACAAAGATGGTGCAGGACCCTGTGGAACACAAGAGAGCACTGTCCCTGCTCTAAGCCACTCTGGGCCTGGGCAAGTCACTTACCTCATCTCTATAATGGGTGAACAATTCCCAGTGGCCAAGGGCCTTTCTGGCTCTCTGACACCTAGAGCAGAGGAGCCAGGAAGACAGGTGCCCAGGGCTCTCCTCACCTCTCAGGCCTCTGGTCTCCTCCCCGCCCCATGCCCTCTTGCCAGGTCAAGTCACAGACAGGGTCATCTTATAAGCTCAGTTGTCATGGCAGACAGCCCAGGGGCGTGGGGTTTGTTTGCTCTGGAGGTTTCAGGGCCCTGTCACAGAGAGGGTGTGGATTTGGTTTCTGCCCCAGGAAAAGGAAGTCTCAACTCTCATATATTTTATGAGGGCATCAGGGAATGTGAAAGAAGCTGAGATGGGGGATCATAAACAGACCAGCAGATTCCTGAGGAAGTGTCCTTTCCAGTCCAGGATGGGTTGGACCTGCCAACTTTGAATCAGCCCATGCTGAGGACTGGGGTGGGTAGACCAGATGGAGGAAAGGAGTGCACACAGGCCTTGTTCTTCAAGCTGCTGTTTAACTACTACCCAGGGCCGCTGGCTGCACCCAAGAAATCTGCTAGCGCCAGGACATTGCGCTGTCATCACAGAACCCTCCCATCTCTGTCCTGACTGAACCAGGTACCACACCACTTCACATTAACCATCACATTTCCCCACTCACCTGGGATGGGGACATCTTCAGGGACAGGCCTAGAAGACAGAATTTCCAGGAAGAACATAAAGGTAGTCATGACAAAGAACCTAAACCTGGGTCTCCCCAGCAAAGTTCTTGACCTCATGACTTTCCTTCTCCAGGGGCCTCTGGACAAGGACTGCTGAGGCACTTGGTAGGTTTCATGCAGAGAGGTAGCAACAGTCATTAGACCTGAGTTTAGATCTTGACTTCACCATTTAATTAGTATGAGATCAAAAATCAAACCCACTGCCATCAAGTTGATTCCAACTCATAGCAACCCTATGGGACAGAATAGAACTGTCCCATATGGTTTCCAAGACTGTAAATCTTTATGGAAGCAGACTGCCTCATTGTCTCCCAAAGAGCAGCTGGTGGGTTTGAACTACCAACCTTTTGGTTAGCAGCCAAAGGCTTTAACCACACCGTGACCAGAGCTCTTAGCGTGAGATCTAGACAGCTTAATTTCTCAGAGCCTCATCTTATCCTTACAAATCCCAAATCACAGGGAGGATACGGTCTGACGAGCTCGCTTCCCAGATGCTAGGAAGTTGAGGCACAGGTAGTTAAGTGCTGGATGCCAGCATGGACAGAGCTGGAAACAGAAGGAGCCCCATGCCTTGGTTGTACCTGGCTCTCAGGACCCACAGTAGCCCCAGGTCACCGAGGCCTGATGACCAGGGAGTATGTGATGGAGCTTTGCTGAGTGAATGCCTGAAAGCACAAATGAGTGCCCAGAAGGTGTAAATGCATTGTCTGTGGGTTACATCAGCTCGAAGACTAAAGCTATCTTTTATCTAGCAGTCTCTATAAACTTTAAATTCAAACTCACCCAACTATCCTCTGGCAATGGAAATTACTACCCTCATTCTACAGGTGAGCAACATTGTACAGCCTCCTTCATAAAATAGAAGCATAAAGCCTGCCTGTTGTGACACTTAAACATTAAATAACACACAACTCAACCTTACGTCATATTCAACTCACAGCAGCAGCCGTTGTCTGCCTTAGTGGTGCAGCCAGGCCCAGGCAGTGCCATCCCCCACTCCTCACAGGAACCACCAAGTGGGGGGAAACCTAAAAGCCTGGGCAAGAGTCACTTTGGCTAGACATGACCTACCACTCCCAGCTTCCCACAACCCATTGCTCAAAAACTCAAGCCCAAAGTAGAAAAAAGAAGAAAAACAAACACACACGAGAGCTTCAGTGTGGAAATAAAGCACACAGAAGGAAAACATTAGAACAGTTGTAAATGTCAGCTAGTCCAGCAACCCCACGGCTGCTCCAGAATCAAAACAGCCTGCAAACAACGCCACATTCAGCTCCTCCGTCTCTGGTTTCTCCCCACAATCAGGCCTTGCCCTGGTCCTGTGACGCTCTCTGCTCAGCACGGATTGTCAGACAGCTGCCTGGTCCTTGGGGCTGCCCAATTCTGCCCGAGGCCTGAACTGAGATCTTCAGATAATAATGCTGCCTTTTCACTCTTCCCAGCCCCCCACTCCACCACACACCTGTTCGCTGATTCCCAGCAGTTCACTGCAGAAGGAGTTCCCATCATCCTAGGCTGGAAGAGTCTTTCCCACCCCAAAGGAAAAGGACTCAGAGGCAAGGTCCCTGGTCTCCAGATTTATTTTACATTCTCTTCCACAGGGAATATAGAGGCTGAGGGGGAGAAGCTGAGGAGGCAGGACAGCAAACATCGGGCTCCCCTGGAAGACATTTGGGCCAGGCCAGTCCTCCATGGCCAGTAGCCTGAGCGGCACAGCAGCAGGACGATGTGCAGAGCCCAAGCCAGGGCTTGGCAGACTTTGGAAGGAGGGGCCTTCAGGCAAAACCTACCAGGCCTGGAAGACTACAAAGGTAGCTGCATCTGTCCCCCACGTCACTCCCAGGCCCAGCTGGAAGCAGAAAGGCTAAGGGGCAGCAGGCAAGCTGGAGTGAAAAGGAAAGAAGCCCCTCCAGGAATGGGCTTTTGGTCTCTATTAGGTTAGGAAGCTGGTCCTGGTTAGAGGAACCCCATGGGGGTGAAGCTGGGAGCCAGTCCCTGTTAGAGGAAACACCATGGCGGGTGGGGGTAGGGGGCTTTGGGGTCTGGTCTCAATAAGGCTTGGAAACAGTCTCCACTTCAAAGCAGACCTCTGTATTTGGGGAGTGGGGTGGAAGAGGAGTTGAAGGGGCTGTCAGAGGAATGCTTGTGAGCTGTGGGTGAGGATCAGTCCAGGGGGCTCCGAAAGGGTTCCAAGGGAAAGCCTTCTGGGGTTGTCTGCAGATGCTAGGAGCTCAGGCCCAGGGCGGGGGAGGATATGGGGGCGATCCTCTCTCCCTCTCCTACGTGTTACTGCTTCCTGACCCATCCTGGCTGGGCTCTGGGTTGCCACAGATACCACTCACACTGGGGCTACATAATTTCCAGGGAATGTCCCAAATTTCTGAGTCCTCCTGGAGACACCTGAAAAGGAAAAGATAGAAAGAGCATTTAAAAAAAGAACGAAAGAAAGAAAGAAAAAAGTCAGGAATGAGGAGGTTAGGGCCCTGCCCCCTGCTGACAGTGTCCAAAACTACAGGTAGAGTTTCTGTCCCACTGAGGGGAGGTTTGCTTTCTTCATTGCTGTCCCCTAGTGGCAGAAGCTTAAGTAGGCAAAGCTACACTTCCTAAATTCAGAATCCCCTTTCATCAAAATAAATGTTGAGCCATCAACAAATGAACACAACTTTGAATAACTCCATCCTTCATCAGGAAAGACAGGGAGCAGGGGAAAAAGTTACAAACTTTAAATCAAGTTACAAACTTTACTGTCTAGTGTGACATCCTTATTTTATAGATGGGGAAGGTAAGGACTAAGAGAAGTCTGAATGAATTGCCCGAAAGCTGCTCAGGCCTAGTAGTTTTTGTTGTTATGCGCCGTCGAGTCGGACCTGACTCACAGTGACCCCTCCTTAGGTTTCTGAGGCAGTATCACTATGGAAGTAGATTGCCCAACTCTTTCTGAGGAGTGGCTGGCGGGTTTGAACCGTCAGCCTTTTAGTTAGCAGTCAAGTGCCTTAGGCACTACACCACCATGCTCAGGGGTAGAATCAGGACTAAAATCTCAGCCTGTCTGCTACAACCTCCAGATACCTGAGGCATGGAGTGGAAAGGGGGAATGCTAGAAGACATAGGAATATGAAATGAAATGAAAGTTTGTCCTGACTGGGGATAAACTGATGTTCCAGGGCTGTCACTTCCAGCAGGCTGGTGTGTCCCCCAAAAGTATCTGTTGTAAATCCTAACCCCTATATCTGTAGATGTCCCCTTTGGGAATAGGGTTTTTTTTGTCATGTCAATGAGGTCGAATCAGTGTACAGCATGTGTTAAGCCAATCACTTTTGAGATATAAAATGCAGATTGTGCCCAAAAGCAAGGAAGAGCAGATGGGGGAAGATAATGTCACATCACACAAAGACCAGCAAGGAACTGAGGAACAGAAGTTGAAAAGAGATAAGGACCTTCCCCCAGAGCCAACAGAGAAAAGCTTTTCCCTAGAGGTGGTACCTTGAATTTGGACTTCTGGCCTCCTGAACTGTGAGAAAATACCTTTCTGTTCATTAAAACCACCGAGTTGTATTTTTGTTATAGTAACACCAGATAATTAAGACAGCTTAATCCTTACTTGGCTATCAAAAGCCATGTTCATCCTGACCCCCAAACCAAAAACCAAACTCACTGCCATCGAGTTGATTCAGATTTACAGCAACCCTCATCGGGCTTCTGAGGCAGTAGATCTTCATGAAAGTACATTGCCTCATCTTCCTTCCATGGAGTGGCAGGTGGGTTTGAACCACCAACCTTCTGGTTAGCAGTCAAATGACTTAGGCACTATGCCACCAGAGCTACTTTATCCTGGCCCTAGGCCTTGCTTATAACTGTTTCCCTGCCTGGAGTACCACTTTTTTTTTGCTAGGCCTCTTCAAATCCTTTCTGTGACCCTTCAAGGCCCAGCTCTTCCGTCTCCTCCAGGGAGCCTTCAGTGATGTATATCAGCCCAATAAATGTGTATCTGTGCTGTCCAAAATGATAACCAGTGACCACATGTGGCTACTGAGCACCTGAAATGTGCTAGTGGGACTGAGGAAGTGAACTGTAAATTTTACTTCATTTTCATTAATTTAAATGTAAACTTAAGTCACACATCACTACTGTACTTTCCTCTGAAAACACTTTTGGCTTATACCACATCAGTGGTACTTTTGCTTCTTGTCTATATAAATTTGCAAAGCTTTATTAGTTGTAAATAATGCAAAAGCAGAAGTGCAGACGATAATATTAGAATGCAGCCCAGCCCCACCCCTCAGAGGTAGTAGGGATTGTTAACAAGTCAATGCTTAATAACCACTGGTATGTTGGAAGCTGGGTCACCAGAGAGGTACTGGGATTCAGAACAGGAAAGGGCGGGCTGCCAGGTTAAGGGACATGCCCTAACCACCCAAATCTCACCTCCTCTGAGCTATCAGTGCCTTTAAGTCTGTTCTACCAGTTCACAGCCTTGGATCCTGCTGTCTGGGTATCCCCCAACCTCAGGCTCCACAGGCTGCTAAGCAGGCTCTGGGCTGCTTACTTCTCTGGACACGCCCATCCTCTGAAGCTGAGGTCTGGCCAGGGCTTGCCCACTCTGGGGAAACAGATCTGTGGAGCCCAGTAGCTGGGCCACCTGGAACCAAGGCCAACTAAGGCTTCCCTGTTTCACTCCTTTGCCCAAGCTGCCCCTGGGCCAAGCCTGAGAGGCTAGATCTTGCTTCATTTCCCTCTTTGCAGCCCTGGAAGAGCTAGCTGCGGCAGAGGGCTGGGGGAAGGAAAAGAATACACAGGTTCAAGACCTGGTCTTTTCTATCAGGAGTTTAGCGTCTGCAGGAGACAGGATCCCTTCCTTCCCCCTCAAAAAAGACTGCTGAGGAGGCAGAGTGGTGTGGTGAGGAGCAGGGGCTGAGGGTCAGTAATCCTGTCCACAGTGACTCTGTCAATAACCCTGGGCTGGCGCCAGCCTCCTCCCAACCCTTGTTCCTCTTCAGGGCATGGAGGAAGGCTGGCCCAGAAGTGCTGGCTTAGGGGAAGCATCCAAAAGTTGGGTGGCAGTGGTCAGGCCATGAATCTTTGCTGCACCACACTGGTGGGCAATAGCCTACCAAATCCCCCACTTCCAGCCTGCTTCTCCACCCCTGCCCCAAAAGCCCACGTACCCACAAACCAGCCATCGTCACACTGCTGCATGACGTCCACCCAGTCCCCCTTCTGCAGCTCCAGCTCGTCCTCATTCTGGGGCCGGTAGTGGTACATTGCCTGGTACCTGTAGGAAACACTCTCATGGCCATGTGCAACCAAGCAGGCCTACAGGTTCTCAACATAAGTATCAGCACTCCCAGAAAATGCTCTGAATTGCCAGAGTCCCTCCACGTTCCCACTAGGCCCTGGCCCAGCTTCTAGAACAAACACTTCTGCCTGGCTTCCCCAGGCCTGCTCCCTGCCCTTCATGCCTAACCAACCAAACCTCACCTCCTCTGACCCACCAGTGCCTTAAGTCTGTTCTACCAGTTCTCAGCCTTGGTTTATACAGGAATTGACCTCAGGGCTGGGAACCCAATGAGGAGGCTGAGCTGAGAGGCTGAGGGGTATGGAGGCTTGCTTTAATGCCACATGCCTGACAGGGATGGGCTGAGCCAGGAACACCACAGACAAGTGTCTCCTCACCTTCCCCTATTTATCACTATAAGCCCCACAAGGACAAAACCAAACCAAGCTCACTGCCATCGAGTCGATTCTGACTCATAGCGACCCTCATTGGGTTTCTGAGGCAGTAAATCTTCATGGAAGTAGATTGCCCATCTTCCCTCCACAGAGCAGCTGGTGGGTTTGAACTGTCAACCTTCTGGTTAGTAATCAAATGGCTTAGACACTATACCACCAGAGCTCCTTTCACAAGGACAAGCACTACCTAATGAGTTTACCAAATACATCCTAAGTGGGAAAGGGAGAGTGTGGGAGCCAGTGTGCTCAGCATTGCTTGCTAGGCGCCCCCCCGCCCACACACCCTCTGATGGTACTCACGGGGTCCAGTGTATCTGAGTGGTGTTGGAGGAGGAGGCCCCCACCTCCAGCGGATGGCCAGTGCCTCGGGGATGGGGCAGAGCTGACCTGGGGGTGCTGAGGCTCTGGGGGTTCACAGAAGTAAAGAAGGATCAGAGGAGGAAGATGACAGGGAAAAGAACTGTTAACAGGTCTCGTGTTTCACCTGCACAAAGTGTTTTACACACCACCTCATCTTATCCTTATAAATCCCAAAGCACTGGGAGGATACGGTCTGACGAGCTCGCTTCCCAGATGCTAGGAAGTTGAGGCACAGGTAGTTAAGTGCTGGATGCCAGCATGGACAGAGCTGGAAACAGAAGGAGCCCCATGCCTTGGTTGTACCTGGCTCTCAGGACCCACAGTAGCCCCAGGTCACCGAGGCCTGATGACCAGGGAGTATGTGATGGAGCTTTGCTGAGTGAATGCCTGAAAGCACAAATGAGTGCCCAGAAGGTGTAAATGCATTGTCTGTGGGTTACATCAGCTCGAAGACTAAAGCTATCTTTTATCTAGCAGTCTCTATAAACTTTAAATTCAAACTCACCCAACTACCCTCTGGCAATGGGAATTACTACCCCATTCCACAGGTGAGCAACATTGTATAGGTAAGAAACTCAAACCCAGAGAAGGAAAGTCATCTGCCCAAGGTCACACAGTAGGCAAATGGCAGACCTGGGACTCGTAGCACTACCATGCAAATCAGGACAGAGTGATGTCTGGAGGATCAGGAAGGCCTAGGCTGGTTTTTGGGGTCCCACCTAGAGGTAACTGGCTGACCCATGCTTCCCTGAAGGCTGGATCTCAAGGGCTAGGGCTAGAACTAACTCAAGGGTTATGAAGTCCCCATTGCCAAAGTGGGCTGCAATGCAAAGTCTTCCCCAATCACCCCACTACTGTGTCTCTGGGGCTGATGGACCAGTCTCAAGAACAGGGACGTAGCATGAGAACAGGGGAGAGGCTCTCCATGCCGAGTCAGGCCACACTACCTGAGTCTGGGGTTTTGGCTCCTGGGTGGGGAAAGAGAAGCCGGTGCGGTGGGGAGAAGTCTGGCCCCCCCAGTTGGTGGGGTCAGCTGGTCGGTGCAGGGTGGAGGGGGATCTAGGGTTACGAGCCAGATGGGCAGTGGTGGTCAGGCGGGGGGATCCAGGAAGCTGGGGGCTGTCATCACAGATCCGGAGCCGGGGCTCACGGCACACGTGGATATAGCTGGCGGGGAAGATGCCCTGGCGCCCTGTGCCTGAGATGCGTCCCTCGTACCAGTTCTCATTCACCTTGCGGATCAGGCAGATTCGTTCCCCCTGGGAGTAGAGAGAAAGGAGTTCATGTCTGCAGGGACTTCCTGGGCATCATGCACCGAAGGTGCCTGTGTCATTTAAACCTAACACCTTCCACATGAAAGATTAGGCCTGGAGGGGTTCAGTAGGTTGTCTAAGATCACAAATCTAGGAAGTAGTGGAGTCAGAAGCTAAACCCAAGCTGCCTGGCTGGAAGTCTCAGCTCCTTCCACAACATGCCAGGTTTGGATCAAGTCCTACCTTTTCTGAGAAGCCTACCCTGCATGTGTCCCCCTCCCAGTTCACAGTACTCTCCTTCCCCAGGGTTCCAAGCACAGGGGAGCCTGGTGGTTAACAACACAGGTCCAAACCCACTTCTGTCAATTCTAAGCTGTGTGGCCTTGGGCAAGTTATTTTGCCTCTCTGAGTCTTGGTTTCCTCACAGGTTAAGAAACCACTGCTGTGGAGTTGATTCCAATTCATTGCGACCCCTGTTTTAGAAGAGAACTGCTTTCCATAGGGTTTTCAATGGCTATAATCTTACAGAGGGAGCTCTGGTAGCATAGTGCCTAAGGCACTTGACTGCTAACCAGAAGGTTGGTGGTTCAAACCCACCAGCCACTCCTCAGAAGGAAGGTTGGGCAAACTACTTCCGTAGTGATACTGCCTCGGAAACCCAAGAAGGGGTCGCTATGAGTCAGATCTGACTCCACGGCACATAACAACAACAATAACAACAAATCTTACAAAAGCAGATTGTCAGCCAGGTCTTTCTTCCACAGCACCACTGGATAAGTTCAGACCACCAACCTTTCGGTTAGTGGTAGCCAAGCACAAACCATTTGTACTACCCAGGTCCCCTTCACACATTAAGAGAGGGTAACAATTTAAGAAGCACTGGACAGATAAGTGTTAGCCATCAGTGCCATGACAGTAATCCCATCCTCGCCTCAACCAGTGGATTGATCCTGTCACCAAAAAAAAAACCCACAAACCAAACCAACTCACTGCCATCCAGTCGGATCTGACTCATAGCAACCCCTCCCTGGGTTTCTGAGGCTGTTATCACTACGGAAGTAGATTGCCCATCCTTCCTTCAGAGGAGTGGCTAGTGGGTTTGAACCACCAGCCTTCTAGTTAGCAGTTAAATGCTTTAGGCACTATGCCACCAGAGCTCCCAAGTGCATCTAAGTATCAACTCCCTGAGGGCAGGTACTGGGTCCTTAAGCCATATGAGGTTGACATTAGGGGCAGAAGGAACCACCACAATCTCAGCAGGGCTGTCCTGGGGAGGATGGTCTCCAGCCTTAGCACCCCCTGCCCCCACTCTCCCTCTATCCAGCCACCCCTTTCCCTCTGTCCCTGGGACCAGCTCTTCCAGATGGCACTCACTAGGGACATTCATGGCCTCAGCCCTAAAAATAAAACAAAGGGAGACCAGTTCTCTATGACATTTTTGAAACTTTTTTTTTAACACAATCTGTAGCAAAAAATATGTTTCAGTAATCCAGTAATAATAATAAACACATATACACATGCAAATATGTAACTGCCAAGTTTGCTAAAATACTCCTCCTGTATGCAGAGCATTCTACTGTTTCTATTCTTGTAAAATACTGATTATAATCCTCATAGTCTACAGCTGGAAAAAGCACAAGTTTAGAAGTTTATAATAACCTTTTTAAAATGGGGTAAACTAAGGAAAATCTGACCATGGGTCAAAGAGGAAGTCACAAAAAATTGGAAAATATTTTGAATTGAATAAAAACATAGTAATTTGAAGAGACTGGAAAAAAAACTGAAATACTAGGTAACAATGGGTATACCTAACTCTTAAAAATGTTTTTAATGCACATATTTAACTGTGTCTTCTTCTGCCCTTCCCCACCCCACCATTTCCTGCCTGGCCCAGCCCCACCTTGCGGAAGGACAATTCCACGTCCAGATCCCCTTTGAAGTTGTATTGGGCCAGGGCTTCTCCATATTCCAGCACCTGATAGGTTGGTGGCTTGATGGGCTTGGGGATCTCATCTGCTGGCAACACCTGCACAAGAAGAAAGGTCATGAGTCAGACAGCCCCTTAGCCTGAGCATCAAACAGGTGCAGACCTGAGGCTCCTGGGAGGAGGGTGAGGCAATAAAGAGAAGATGGAAAAAAAAGAATAAGAGAAGGTAGCATGTGTAAGATCTGATCCCCCGCCAGAGGCATGAAAGACACACCAGATACAAACCCTGGTGGTGGCTAGGGGTGAACACTGCCAAGGGGGTGGTCAGTCCAAGGAGGCTCCCTGTAGGAAGAATTTTCAGTAGGGTTTTGTGGAGTGGAAATTACTGGAGTAGGGAACAGTAAGCACAAAGACTTGAAGGTGGAAGCAAGTCCAGTTGAGAGTTTAAATTGGGGCACAAAAGGCAATGTGTTCCAAGGAGCATCTGGTAACTTGTTCTAAAGCTGAGGATTTAACATTTTACCACTGCTGCGAACCAAGCATTCCTTCTCCTCCTCCTCCCCTTTTACTCCACAAGATGCCCAACATACTTATGCTCTTCACCCCACTCACAACAATCAAAAAGCTGACAAGCTATTTCACATTAAGATAGAAATGACTGATAAGGTAGATTACTGTACATATTTTGTGGAATTTCAAGATCAGAGAGATTATCCTAAGGGTAAGGGAGGCCTATTAATGCCTTTCAAGTTAGAAGCTCCAATGGTGTAGTGCCTAAGGCATTTCACTGCTAACCAGAAGGCTGGTGGTTCAAACCCACCAACCACTCCTTCGTAGAGATATTGCCTCAGAAACCCAAGGAAGGGTCACTATGAGTCAGAATCAACTTGATGGCAGTGAGAAGAGTAAGGCAGGCCTATTAATGCCTTTCAAGTTAGGATGGAGAATTAAACAACAACTCAATCCATGGGTCAAAGAAGTCACAAAAAATTGGAAAATATTTTGACTTGAATGAAAACATAATAAAATTAGGAATGCAGCTAAAGCAGTGCCTAGAGGAAAATTTATGGCATTAAATGCTTATATTAGACAAAAAAAAAAAAAGTTTTAATCACAATGGAAGATTCTAGAGAGAGAAAAGGAGAAAAAAAATGTAGAACAAAATTTAAAATCATAAAAAAAAGGGTCATATTTACTGATCTGCTAGACAGGAGCAACCCCTAAGACTGTGGATCTTAGACACCCTTCAAGCTGGAACTGAACACACTCCCAGGAACCAACTTTCATCCAAACAACTGATAGGCCTATGAAGTGAGTAATAATGTACTTCTCAGTACAGTCAACCATACGAGACTGCAAAGAAAGCAAACCAAAACCAAACTCACTGCCATTGAGTCCAATCTGACTCATAGCAACCCCTCCTTGGGTTTCCAAGGCAGTACCTCGTAGACTGCCACATCTTCCTTCTACAGAGTGGCTGGTGGGTTTGAACTGAAAGCCTTCTGATTAGCAGTCACATTAGGAACTATGCCACCAGAGCGCCTAAAGTATCCCCCAAAAACAAAGCTCAGAAGGCTGGAAAGAAGAAACAGGGAACCCAGGGAAGAAGTGGGAGGAGTGTTGTTGCACTGAATGAAGTGCAACCAATGTTACAAAACAAAATGTGTATATAAATTGTTGAATGGAAAACTAACTTGGTCTGAAAACTTTCACCCGAAATAAACAAAAAGGTTAAAATAAAAAAGGAAAATAGTTTCAAATTAATAATCTAAGAACCTTAAGGAACTAGAATAAGAGAAAATTAAATCTAAAGCAAGCACAAGGAAGAAAATAATAAAGAGCAGAAATCAATGAAATTGAAAACAGAAAAATGAGAAAAATCAATGAAATCCGAAGCTGGTTCTTTGAAAGAAATCAGTAAAACTGACAAACCTCTAGCCAGACTGAGACACAAATTACCAATACCAGGAATGAAAGAGAAGATACAGGTCTTACTGACATTAAAAGAGTAATTGAAAAATTTTATCAATTAAATAAATGCTATAACTTGAAATTCCGTGTGAAAGACACAAATACCAAAAATAACCTGAGTAGTCCTATGTCTATCGAATCCAGAGCCTGGGTTTCAGAGTTGAAAGATCTGGATTCAAATTGAGATTCTGGATATTTTACTTCATAACTTGCCTCTGAACTTTAGCAACCCTATCTGTGAAGTGGGAATAATATATCACTTCCCAGGTTAATGAGAAGAACAAAGAAAGTAACATATACACACAAAGGAGATTGTGCGTGTGTATGTGTTTTGTTCCTGGATGGTAAAAAAGTTGACAAATCAACTGCTAACTAAAAGGTTGACAGTTCAAGTCCACCCAGAGGCACTTGAGAAGAAAGGTCCAGTGATCTACTTCTGAAAAACCAGCCACTGAAAACCCTACAGAGTACAGCTCTACTCTGACACACATGGGGTTGCCATGGGTTGGAGTCTGGTTATGTGATGCGCAACACTTGACATTGCTGGCAGCAGCAATTATAATTATTCCCAGGGGCAGCTTTAGCTTTAGTGGGGTTGGGATGGGTCATGGCACCACCTAAGGCAGGGGCTCTATAACCTTTCTGCCACCCCCCACGGGCCAACATTATTTGGTGGGTGGGAGCTTGGGTGAGTTTAGAGAGATGGATGTGAATACGCAAAGTCCGTGACACATACAGGGGTGGCAGTCTGTGGTCCAGGAACTGGGCTGTTTGCTTCTCCCCAGGGCTGAGACCCCATTTCACAGACATTTCATGGGTGCTCTTTCCTGCATGCAATGCACCAGCCAGGCCCTCTGGAGACCAAGGACATTATGAGATGTGGTCCTTGCTCCATGAGCTCCCGCTTTCACATCTTAGGAAATGGTGAGAATGAGGTATCAGTCACCTCCAGCAGGGGACCAAGGATAAAGGGATCTGTTCTCCAAAGCTCTTCCAACCCATCCACCCTCCCACCCTGGCCCCTGCTTGCTCCCATCCCTCCCTTCTCACCTCCACATAATTAGCAGGAAAGATGCCTAGGCGGCCATGGTGCTCCCCCTCCAGCCAGTTCTTGTCTACCTCTTTGTGGATATAGACAATGTCACCCTTCTGCAGACTTAGCTCCCTGCAAACCAGAGCAAACACATTAGGGCCAAGGGAAGGTCTCCAGATCTTCCTTTCCTTTAGCCCCTGTCCAATACACCCCAGAGTCCCCATCACCCTTCTCAGGATGTCCACTGCAGCCCTGCCTCCCCGCCACTCCCCTACTGTGCAGGGGTCTGAAGCTGCAGAGGCTTTGCCCTTTGGTGGAAGAAAGGAGAGAACTTACTTGGGGGACTGTGCCTGGAAGTCAAACTTGAGCCGAGCAGCCTTCATCTGGCCAGAGGAAGAGAATGGAGAGGGGTTACCTCAGTCAGACAGGAGGCAGGCCCAGGACTGTAACCTTGGGGACCCACCCTAGGCCCTCCCTGAACCCTGACCCAAACCTTACCTTCTTCTCTTCTTTCCTGACTGGGCTGCCCCCTGGTTCAGAGGCACTAGGGTCTGTGGAAAAGCATTAACTCATCTTGGGAAGGCCACGCCTAGTGGGTGGGGTTAGGGTGGGTCACGGCACCACCTAAGGGCCACCCCCCACGGGCCAACATTATTTGGTGGGTGGGAGCTTGGGTGAGTTATAGAGTAGGATGTGATGTGGTCCTTACCTCGGGTTGGGGAAGGGTAGACAAAGTCCCTACGACCCAGGAATGGGCTTCCTCCATCCGCCATTCTGTGGGGGCTCAGGGATCGGGAGGGACCCGGGTAAAGTGCATCCGGGGAGCTGGAGCTCCAGGCTGAGGCCGGGCTGCGCAAGGACACGGTGAGTGAGCCACCTGTCTAGCGCTTCTTACCCTACCCGGCTCACTCTTAGACCTCCCTGGTTCCCCAGATGTCCCCCCATCCCCGCTGCTGCCACCACCGTCTCCCAAGGCGTCTCCCAGGTCCTGGGGTCTCAACAGGATGTCCTACTTCCCGTGCAGCCGAGGCCAGGAAAGGGTGAGGCCTTGGACTGGGAGAGGCCAGAAGAGGCCAAGCTGGCGGGTGTGCTTGCGCGAAGTGGCGGCTCCTAGCACCACACTCCGCCCGCCGTGGTGGCCGAAGTCCTCGGGCTTGAGGCAAGTGTTACTCTGTGCGCGAGGAGACAGCCCCCCCTGCAGAGAGCGGCGGCTCCGGGCCTCTCCCTCGGGGGGGCTGCGCCCTCCCCGCTGCTCGGTGGCTCTCCCCGGGCTCACCCGCACCCAGCACGCCCGGTCCGGGCGGACCGTCGCGCTCTGCAGCCGCCGGGCCCGCCCCCGCGCCACGTCCCTCCGCCCGCCTCTCCCGCCCACCTCCGACAGACCCTCATCCGGCCCTCGTCTCCAGCCACTCACCGGGCCGGGGGTCGCTGCTCCGGGGACCGTCGGGGCGCCTGGGAACTCTGTTTGGGGAGGCGTGGCCGTTTAATGTCGGATCCCAGGTCCCAGCGCCAGGGAGGCCGCCGCCTCAGGAAAAGTTTGTAGCTCGGCTAGGAAGGAGGGCTGGGAAGGGGCGGGAGGGACGCGGGGTCCTAGAGTCTCCCGCGCGCAGGCGGGACCGAGGAGCAGCGGAGGAGCTGGAGAGGGAACCGCAGGGTGGCGGAAGAGGGAGGGGAAGCTCGGGCTTTTTAGGAGTTGGGGGTCCCTGAGGGCCCTGGTTCAGGGGGCGGGGCGAACCTGGGTGGGGGGAGCCCTGGCACCCGGACGTCAGGCTGACGTGGAGTCGGCCTGCAAGGGTTCTTATGGGTCACTTGGAAAAGTCAACGCCCTGTATTTCGTAGAGGAGGGAGCAGACCGGGATGGAGTTGGCCCAGGGTCACAGCCAGTGTGTGGCTGGAGGCTATATGTCTTGTCCGCCCGCCCTCCCACCCAAGCCCTTGCTAGGCGAGGGGCAATTCATTCCGGTTCGACCCCTGCGGAGAATTTGCATTTCCATCCCGGACGTAATAAATCAGAATCTACATTCTTACAAGAATCACCAGGAGATCTTGTTAAATTGTAGAAATGCAAATTCTCAGCAGGGGGTCGGACTGGAATGAACTGTTGCCAAACCCTGCCTAGAGAGGCCGCATCATCCAGCACTGCAGGCTCCGGATTGCAGCTCCGGGACCCTGCAGGTGTCTCTCAGAGTAGGATTGGGAGGCCAGTACCTTGGGGGACGGTAGCCGGGTCTCAATTGCCCGCAGGTCCTTATCCAGCTCTGCGCTCAACTTGGCTAACTCTCTCTCCAGCAGGACCTGGTGAAGGGGTAGGGGTGAGACTTCAGGTAATGGGGCAATAGAGCGCGGCAGGGGGAGGGGGCTGGTCAAAGTTCAGTTGTGAGAAACCCAGTGGGCAGCAGGACAGGTACACTGTGCCTGGGTCAAAAAGGCAGGCCTCCTGTCTGTGGGGAGGTGTGTTTCAGGATGTCAAGAGGGCATCCCCCAGGCACCAGCTAGCCCCTCCCTCCTAACCCATCCTGCTCTCTCCTGATAGTGCTTTTGGACTTTTTTTTTTTTTGTCATGTTACTTCTGTGTTTTAAAATCTACTACAGTGGCTCTCCTCTCCCGTAAAGTCTTTATGGATTTCTACGGCCTGGCTTCACTGTCTCTATCCAGCCTTCCTCCTACAGCCCATCTCAGTTTGCTGTTGTGCGCACACCCCTGCAGGCTCTTCCTTATGCTTTTCCTCCCACCCAAAATGTCCCTCTGTCTGCCTGGCCAAATCCTCCCATTTTTTTTAGAGCCAAGCCCCACCTCCAAGAATAAAACTAAACCAAACTCACTGCCGTTGTTTCGACCCTGTAGGACAGGGTGGAACTGCCTCATAGGGTTTCCAAGGCCGTAAATCTTTATGGAAGCAGACTGCCTCATATTTCTCCCATATTTCTCCCACGGAGCAGCTGGTAGGTATGAACTGCTGACCTTTTGGTTAGCAGCCCAATGCTTTAACCCCAGTGCCACCAGGGCTTCTTCCTCCAAGAGTACTTCTTGACAGTTCTAGTCCACACTGGCCACTCCCTTCTCTGTTTCTGCTTCAGTCAACACACATTTATTCAACACATGTTTATTGAGCATCTACTATAATGCTGAATAGGTTTCAGTGGAGTTTCCAGACTAGGAAGAAAGGCCTGGCAGTCTACATCTGAAAATCAGCCAATGAAAATCCTATGGATCACAGTGGTTCAATATGCATCTGATCCTGGTGATGACACAGGACCAGGCAGTGATTCATTTTGCCCCATTCCATTGTGCATGAGGTTACTATGAGTTGGGGGACAATTCCATGGCAGCTAACATCTGTATGCCACACCCTGTTCTGGGTGGTCGGGATCCAGAGGGTCAGAGCTTTTGCTCTGTGGTCTTTGCCCATGGGCACTGGTGCCCAGTCCACCCAGAATCTCCCTCATACATCATCCAACACTGGTGTCTCCCCTCCTCCCCACCCACCCAACCAGCCACACTCACCTCAATGGGCTGAGAGGGCTTATCCACAGGCTCATCCACCAGCGGTTTCTTTGGCTAAAGAGTAAGAAAGGATGTGTCAAACGGTGTGAACTTGCTTTCCAAAATACATTTGAAAGAGGTATGTTCAGTCACAGAGGGCCAGGTTGACACTTACCCTCTGCCCAGTCTCTAGTTCTTGCAGGAATTGGTTCCAGGAGTCTTCCTTCCAGACATTTTCTATTCTCTCTCGGTGTCTGGGTACCTGCATGGAGGCAGGTGGGCATCAGCTTGAGTAGAGGCATACCCAGACACTGGCCAGGCTGAGAAAGTAGGTTTTCTGGGCCCCTGACCCATCCCTGTGTCCACCGGTGCTCTCCAAGGGATTCTGGGTTGCATAGAACAGGACCCAGGCTCAAAGGGCATTATCTGTGCTCTTCTAGAGATGTCTGGCCATGCAGCATGAAGCCGAAGGGTGATACAGGGAGGATGCTGGGCAGGCTACCTGATTTGGGGTCTGGAGCAGAGAGGAAGATGCTCCAGGATTATAGCTGAAGGTGCTTCCAGAAAACTCTTCAGAAGGGTCCCAGCTTCTTCTGAAGAAAAGGAAGGACAGCTCTTCAGTTTCCTTTTGGAGAAACTGAGGTATCAGTGAGAACACAGCTCTGGCAGCAGCGAGAGCTGCACCCGTACCCCCAGCACTTGCTCTGGGTTAAGAAGACCACTCTGCCTCTGGCTGCCCCTCCCCCTTTCTGTGGTGTTAAATGGTGGAAAGTGTTCAAGTCTCAGTTCCATCAGTTAGTAGCTGTGTGACCTTTGGGCAAGCTGCTGAACTCTCCTAACCTCAGGTTCAAAAGCTATAAAATGAGAGAAATTCCACCTTAACAAGGGTGTGGTAAAACTTAGATGGACTATGTGTGAGGTGCACAGGAGAAGGGCTGGCAGGACGCTGGTCTTTACAGTTGGTGTGGCTGCATGTCTTGCACCGTGCCCAACAGTGTAGGCTACATCATATTCCAAGGAAAACCCCAAGAGAGGGGAAAGCCCTGGGGCCCTGACCAACCAGGAGCCCTGGGCAAATTCTTTCTCTTTCCTGGGGCCTCAGTTCTTTACCGGCTGGATTCAGTGACCTTGGCTGAGGCGTGCACTGTCCCTGAAGGTTCCTTGCTTTTCACATTTGCTTTAGCTCCTCTCCAGGCCCCCTTCTTGGGTGACTTAAACGTTCCAGGCTCTGTTTTGTTTTACTGAGTCCACCAAGTGGAACCAGTGTATCAAGCTTATCAAATAATGGAATGCCCGACCCGAAGGTCAGGATTTGTTGACTGTAATTATGATTCTATTCTGATTTTAGCAATAATGAAAGTGAAAATGAGAATGGTATATGTCATTTCTAATTTAAGGACGCTGTATTCATCATTGGACCTGTATAATAACGATGTTTGTGGAGGCTTGTTATAAGCCAGGCAGCTCTGGTGGCATAGTGCCTAAGGCACTTGACTGCTAACCAGAGGCTGGTGGTTCAAACCCACCAGCAGCTCCTCAGAAGGAAGGTTGGGCAATCTACTTCCATAGTGATACTGCCTTGGAAACACAAGGAGGGGTCGGTATGAGTCGGGTCTGACTCGATGGCACATAACAACAACAATAATGTGATTAATCCCTTCCTGTAAAAGAATAAGAAACTCTTTGAGTTAACTTTGAGAGCAAAACTCCCGATTCCCAAGATCATGTTGAACCCCTCCTGAGCCTTGGCAGCCCCACTGGGCTTGTGAGGATTGCACAGAGGAACAGAATTTTATTCTTAACCTCTCTGCTGTGGCTCCCCTCTCAATGTTATGACAAGTCCAGGAGGAAACTTAGATTCCTCCATACACATCTCACGGCTCTGCCCAAAGTCTCTGGATCACCTTGCTTCCCACCCCATATGACCTGTGGATTTTTGGGGTGATGAGTTCCTGCTACCGGCAACAAATGGGTCACAGGCATTCCTGACCAGGAATGGGTGTCAGGTCCACTCCCTGTTGGCCTTTCCTTTTTGATCCTGGCAGTGAGGGAAGTGTCAGGTCGGTTTGACCCTGAGAAATGACAGAGCCCCTCGGAGGAGCCAGATCCCGGCTTGCGCGCTCCAAGGCTGTGCCATCTGTGGCCACCAGGGGGCGCCGGTACCACAGGGACGTGCCATCAGCCCCTCCTCTGAGCCCTCGAACCCCTTCCCCACCTCCAGCGCTCACCCGATCTGAGTTGTGCCGGGCCCTGGCCGGGAGGCAGGTCTTCGCTGGAGCCCGGGATGAGTTGAGGCTGCAGAGACACACGAGACCACCACTAAAGGTGAGAAAGGACAGGCAACATTGCGGGCCGGCAGGAGCTGAAGTTGGGGGCGCCAGGGTGCCCATTCAGGCCTCTGGCATCCACCCCACTTGCTCCCGGGGCAGGGAGAAAGGGAGGTGCCCTGAGCCACTGAATGTGGACTTTGTGTCCAGAATCTCACACATTTTACTAAATCTTTAAAACCATTCTGTTGGGTAGGTTGGTAGCTCCATTTTACAGATGAGGAAAGAGAGGCCCAGAGAAACAGAATCACTGCCAGGGAGTGGCAGAGCTAGAATTCACTGGGCTGCAAAGCTGATGCTCTTAATTACCCTATTACTAACCAGAAAGGGGACTTGGAGCTCACTGGAAATGAGACATAAAAACTTCTCTAGTTGCACTACACCAACTAGGGAACCCCAAAGCCAGGCCAGCTGCCCATCCCTGCTAGGAGCACCCTCTCACCTTTGGGTGGTTCCTCAAACGTCCAGTCCAGCTGCAGGTCTGTGAGAGCAGAAAGGATGCAGGTCAGGGGTGGACACAAAGCAAGAGAACCCTGTGAGGCTGCCTCAGCTGCTCCCAGCCTCCCACCTAGAGCTGGGGGTGCAGGGGCTGAGTCAGGGCCTGAAGAATGTCCCGAGGGAGGGAAGGAATTAGAAGGGCAGCTCTCCAGAGGGCTTGAAATGCCTCTGGCTGACTTGAGGGCTGAGTGAGCCAACCCTGAGCAGCAGACTTGCCCAAACTCTCAGGCTCTTCCCTCCTTGCATTCCCACACACAACCTCATACCGACATTTGTGGGCCTGCCTAGCTATGTCAGGTGAGGGAAATGTGATTTCCTCTTCTCACCCTTTCCCTTCCTGCACCCTCTTCTAAATGTTTATCCTTTCCCCTTTGCTCAGACCCACTCCTCAGGATGCAGTGAATTTCTGGGGTCTTCTAGTAAAAGCTACTGGCCAGCCAACCAACTTGATTGATCGCTTTGCACCCCAGACATGCTGCAACTGATCCTACCTTAAACCCAAACCAAAACACCTTTCTCTCAATCCCACACCTTCCTAAAGCTCCTGGATTTTTCTGCTTTCCTTTACAGCAAAAGGTCATCCATAACTAACTCACCATCTCCAATTTCCAGTGTACTCCAAAGGGAATACATTCTTTTTAATCAGGCATTCTACCCTACCATGCTTGTCCCCAACTGTTCTTACGAAGGACCCCTGTGAGCTCCACATTACCAATCTAATGGTCCATTCTCAGTCTTTGCTTTACCCAACAGCATTTGTTAAGGTGGATTCCTTCTTCCTTTTGAAATTCCATTTTCACTTGGCTTTAGGGAGAACGCATTCCCTTTGTTTTCCTCCTTCCTCCCTGGTTGCACCTTCTTAGTCACCTTTGCTGGTTCCTGTTCATTTCTGGACCCTCTTTTCATCCAAGGGCCTCAGGGCATGGTCCTTGGGCCTCTGTCTCTCCATCATCGTCCCCTCCCTGGATGATTGAGTCTAGTCTTTGGCTTTTAAAATACCACATAATTCCAACTCTGGCTGCACATTAGAATTACTTGGGGAGCATTAGATCAGTAGCTCTCTGAGTGGGTTCCAGAAATTTATATCTTCAGTTTAGGCCTCACCTATGAACTACTGAACAATAATACCCAAGCATACTGCCATCGAGTCGATTCCAACTCATGGTGCCCACATGCATTACAGGGTAGATTGTGATCCTCAGGGTTCTGTGTCTGTAATCTTTACAGAAACAAATTGCCAGTCCTTCCTTCTGTGGTACCACTGTGTGGGTTGAACTGATAACCTTGCAGTTAGCAGCCAGGTACAAACTGTTTGCACAGCCCAAAGACCTGTCCATAAGCTACAGATCTGTACATTCAGCTGCCCACTCGACATCTTCACTTGGATGTGAACTATCTAAAACTGTATTCCTCTTAAACCTACTCTTCCCACAGTCTTCCCTGTCTTTACAAATGCCAACTCCATCCTTTTACTCATTCTAGTCTAAAATCATCTTGACTCCTCTTTCTTGCCATAACCAATCCATCAGCAAATTCCCATGACTATCTTCAAAATAAGGAGCCCTGGTAGTGCTATGGTTAAGTGCTTGGCTGCTCATCAGAAGGTTGGCAGTTCAAACCCACCAGTGGCTTCATGGGAGAAAAGACCTAGTGATCTATCCTTGTAAAGATTTACAGCCTTGGAAACCCTATGGGGGCAGTTCTACTCTGTCCTATAGGACTACGAGTCAGAATCAACTCAACAGCATCTAACAACAGCAACTATCTTCAAAATGTATCCTGAATCCCACCTCGTCCCATCAGGCCCACTGCTACCACCTCGGTCCAAGACACTGTCATCTCTAGCCTGGATTATAGCAAGAGCTTCCCAACTGGCCTCCTGCTTCCACCTCTGCCCCTACCATCTCTTCTCCACATTGCAGCCAGAGTGATCCTTTTTATTCATTATTAGATCATGTTACTTTTCTAGTCAACACCTCAGTGGCTCCTCATCACTCAAAGAGTGAAAGCCAAAGTCCAGTGGCCCACAAGGCATCTGTGATCTGAACCCGTTACCCCATCGTCATCTCCTACCTCATGGCCCTCTCTCACTCCAGTCCAACTGCTTACTGCTATTCCAGAACCTGCCAGGTCTACTTCTGTCTGAGTCTCTGTGCCCCCTCTGCCAGGCAGGCTCCTTCCTAGCTCTCTGCCAGGCTAACACCTTCACTCACTCAGGGCTCTTCTCACAGGGGCCTTTCCTGTGTTAAGTAGCAGCCTTGTTGCATGGTCTCTCCACTGACCCCTTACCACCATCTGTCACATTAAATGTATCTGTTTAGTGTGTGCCTCCCACTCTCTAGAGTGTAAGCTTTACTAGGGCAGGGACATTCCTTTTTTTTTTTATTATATCTTCAATCTTCCATGAAAAAGACCTGGGTTCGATTTCTGACCAGTGTACTTCATGTGTGGCCATCACCCGCCTCTGTTAGTGGAGTTTGTGTGTAGTTATGATGTTGAACAGGTTTCAACAGAGCTTCCTGACTGACTAGGAAGAAAAATCTGGTGATCTGAAAATCAGCCAGTGAAAACCCAGGGAGCACAACCGTCTGAGCCTCAACCAATCAGGGGAATGACACAGGGTCAGGCAGCATGTCGTTCAGTTCTGCATGGGGCACCATGAGCCGGGGGCCAACTGGAAAGCAGCTAACAACAATCTTTAGCAGCTAAAACAGTGCTTGGCACACAGTAAGTGCTCAATAAAAATTCACGGGACTGGCTGAATGAACCAGTGAAAACGTCGGAAGTTCATATGCACCTCCCCGGGTTGGCTGCGGTTTAGTCAAAGAAAGCTTCATGAAGAGGAACGGCCCACTAATGGCAGGATTTCAACCTGGCAGGAAAATCAGAGAGCAACCGAAGGGAAGAACTGCCTTCCTGGTACCCTCGGAAGATACCAGGAGACAGTGACTGGTCATTGTCATGGAGGATGCTCTGGAGGCCACTGCTGGGCCCTGAGTGCCAGGGCTGAGTGGGAGGGTAATGGAGACTCCTTTCTTTGGCTGTTTTAGGGATTACTCACCACAGAGCCCACAATGGGTGGAGAAGAAGCTCGCTGAGCACTGTGAGTTCTCCTTTCTGCTTCTCCCTCCCCAAACCAGGTCTGGCAGGGAGAAGGCCCTCAGAGGGTGTCTCACCTGGCATTTTGCAATGAATCTGCTGGAACATCCTCCGGTACCAGTCCCTGGGGCTGTCAACACTCTGGGATGAGAAAAGGCAAAGTCAGGCCCCACCGCTCTCCCGCTATGAAGCCAAAGATGTTTTCCCTTAATGAGCCCTTTCTCTGGTTACCCTTGAAGCTCTAATGGGTGGGCCAGCAAACTTCTCTGTTGTGATATCCTAAATAACAGAGGTTGTGTGTGACATGTTGTATATGGATAAGACACAAGGAAGAATGCACCTCAAAAGTGTAGAATGATAATTCCTAAATTATGAGATGCTGGATTTACTTTTTTTTTTCTTTTTTTAAATAAGATTTTATTGTGCTTTAGCTGAAAGTTTACACAGCAAATTAGCTTCCCCTTTTAACAATTTGTATACAAGTTGTTCCATGCCATTGGTTACAATTTTTACAATGTGTCAGCATTCTCTTTATATGTATTCTGTTTGTTCTGTTTCCCTTGATGTAGCTTCCCTTCCCCTCCTTGACTTCTGGATCTTTGCTTTTGGGTAACTGTTGGCCAAAACAGTCACACACTCCGTCAGCTAGTTGTTGACTGAGCACCAATTTCACGAGCACTGTCCAGGCCCTCTGAAACTCAAAGGTGGGTCCTACAAGGCTCAGCCCTTACAGCACTGGTTCTTCATCTTTGAGAACCTGGTGGGAATTATAGAGCGCCTCTGTGATGGTTAAGGTGTGTCAACTTGGCTGGGTCGTGATTCTCAAACAACTTTTGCAACTAAGACACGCAAGAGTTCCTGAAACTTTATGGGGTCCATGACCTCCTGAAGGGAGCTTTGGTAGCACAGTGCCTAAGCCGTCTGACTTCTAACCAGAAGGTTGTTGGTTCAAACCCACCAGCCACTCCATGGAAGCAAGACTGGGCAATCTACTTCTGAAAAGATTTGCTGCCTTGGAAACCTTGCTCTGTGTTGGAATGGACTCGATGGCAGTGGGTTTGACCTCCTGAAACCCTGCCTTAGGCTGGAATGGTGTGGATAAGCCTTTTTGCCCACCCACACTATAATTCACAGAGGTGAGCTCAGTGCTAGGTCCCAGCCCTGGACTCACCGACCGGGGGGCAATGGGCATGCCGCTCTCATCCACAGGCCCAATTCCCTCATACTTGACCCAGCGCTTGTCCTGATGCTTGCTGTCCTTGGTCCACGTGGCTGACCAGTTCTGGGTATGCTGGGGGGCAGGGGTCTTCAGGCCACTTGAGGGCCGGCTCCCAGGGCCTGGCCAGGTCTGATACCAGGCTGTGTCTGTGTGTGGAGGGAGGGTGTACAGGAGAGCATTAGCAAAAGGCAGGACCCCCACTCAAACTTGTACATTCTCATAGCTCCTCAGAACATAGATCCCTTTGGACTCCAAGCTTTCAACATCTCCTTGTCTGAGTTTATGACACAGACTCTGCAAACCTCACATCCCCAGAAGTACCACAGACTGTTTGTTTACTTTTCAGTTAAAGGGAATTGAAATGGATTTTATTTTGAAACATCTGTGCCTGCCTCCACCTCACCCCACTATTCTGGAGCTGTCCTAAGAGCTTTTGGAAGAGGGCTGGGAATCATTACTTATAGAGAATGCTGGGGACCCCTCACGTGGAGAGACAGAAACGGCATGGGGCCTGGAAAGGACAGACCTTCATTCAGACATGGGCTCTGCCACTTACTGGCTATGTGGCCTTGGGCACATCAGTTAACCCCGTAGTGCCTCAATGTCCACTTTTTGAAAAAATGAATTGTTACAAAGACTCCATGAAATCTAGGTGTGCGACTGTGCCCAACACAGTCCTGATACACAGTAGAGAGGCTCTCTCAATAAGGGACAGAAACTCATTCACCAGACATGGCTATTGTGTCCTCAGCTTCCCCAGAACCTTAGCCAGTATAGTGGCATAAGGGCTTTGGGCCAGACTGATAAGGGTTTAAGGAGCTCTGGTGGTGCAGTATTTAAGGCATTTGATTACTAACCAGAAGGTTGATGGTTCAAACCCACCAGCCACTCTGTGGAAGGAAGATGGGGCAATCTACCTCTGTAAAGATTTATTGCCGTGGAAGCCCAGTGGGGGTCGCTATGAGTAGGAATCAACTTGACAGTGGTGGGTTTTGGATAAGGGTTTAAATCTCAGCTCAGCCTCTAGTAGCTAAACAAACATCTCTGAGACTCACTTTCCTCACCAGGAAGATGATAGTGACTGTACCTGACCTTGCAGGATATTGAGGAATTCAATGAGGGAAGACTGTGAGGCACCTTTACAGTGTGCAGCACATTATAAGAGTCCAATAATTATTTGTTAAATGAATAAATCACTTCACCCAGGGCCTTTCTCAAAGGAATGCTCAATAAAAGGGATGCAGTCCCTTCAGGAGAGGTACACTCAGGGGTGGTCTGCACTGAGGATGTCCCACAGTAAGTCATATAAGAGCCTAGGTGCTGACAGGCTCTCAACTTCCTGCTGACATGTGGACTGCTGGGCTGCTGAGCACAGACCAGACAGCTCAAGGACATGCCTGCAGTGTTTGTGTGGGGGGGGGGGGGGGGCAGGGAGGTGTCAGCCCCCACCCCTTCTAGAACCAGCCTGTGCTCACATTCATTCACTCTTCCATCCCTACTCCAAGCTAGGCCCTGGCTTCCTGGAGGCCCCCAGGCCCTCTGACTATGGCCCTGTTGGTCACCATACGCTTCCCTTCTCTGGTACTGGGGGCAGGGGAAGGGCTGGGAGCGGAAGGGAAGGGATGTATCAGCTACTCTCTCCCTGATTTCACTCTTACAGGGTCATACATGCTCACACAAGGAGGGGACAGCTGAGCTTGGAGCCCCTGGGGCACCAGAGGCTGCCCTGTGTGGGGCTACCTGGGTATGGGAACCTGCTGGTAGCCTTGAGACATCCCTTCCCCATCCCCACCTAGGCCTCTGCTGCTCCTCCTGCTTGACTCAGGGTGGTGCCAGATGGCAGGGCAGCTCTGACCTCCCACTGGACACGGGGCTGCTGGAGTGGGTTTTCCCACCTGATCCACCTGGGTGACGCGAAGCATCTGTCCTCTGCGGGAAGCACCCATTGCACACAGTCCGGGGTGCAGGGTCATGGAACTGGAAATTAAGGGTGTTGGAGCCACCATTCCGGATCACAGGCACCTGTGGGAAGGGGCCAGGAGCGGCTGCTCAGGGCCCGAAGGTCCTACAGAAGGGTGGGGAATGGCTACCAGGGCACAGCCCAGAGCCCGCAGCCCACAGCCCACAGTGAGGGCTCCAGGGCCCAGCCTTTGGCAGGAAAGTAGTGAGGCTCTCTGGGGCTATCTTCCAACTCCTCTTTCCTCTCTCACATTCCTTTAATCTTTCTGTCTCCCTGCCTGTCCTGCTAGTGTCCCCCCAACTTTGGGACCAGGGCCCCCTTTCCCTCAGCAGTCTCACTCACCCGTGTTCCATGGGAGGATGACCCTACATGGGCTCGGAGGTGGCCAGGGATAAAGTCATCCAGGCTGAGCCCAGCAGGGAGGCTGCAGGGGGGGGCCTGCATGCTGGGGTCAAGGTCAGAGTGTGCCAGCTGCTCTGTGTGTCCTCTGCAGGGAAGGGAGAAGGAAGGGAATGCCCTCTGGGCCAGGCTGCTTATGCTCTCTTGGCTCAACCTAGGTATGGGGGGAGGGGACAGCTGTAGGAAGGGGGTTGGGACCAGCTGGGTGGGAGCTCACAAGACCCAGGAAACAGGCTACTGTGGGCCCCCGCCTGTAGGCTGCTAGTGCTGGCTCCCATAGGCACAATGGACTACTTGTTAGGCCCTGGGCAGGAGCGCCTAGTTGGTGTGGGGGAGGGGGAGGCCTGGGCAAGGAGGAGGGGAGCCTGGCCAGGAGCAGGCCTGCTGGACAAAGCCTGGGGTGTGAAGGCCTGCAGGACAAAGCTCTGGCCTTGACCCCTCTAGGCAGCCCTTCTGGGGCTCTCCCTGCACAGCATAGCCTGCCTCCCCCAGAGGAAGGGAGAGGGGAACTAGTGTAGCTGGCAGAGGACCAGGGCACATAGGACTTTGTTTCATTTCTCTCTGCCTCCCCCAGTCCCTGAGTGAGCATGTGTCTGCCAGCAGGCACAAGGATTGACCAGGCCATGGGAGAGGAGGCTCTGACCACCAGCAAGGCCATCACCATCTGCCCACTGGGAAGCAGGAGTAGTAGGGCCAAGGTTCCTGGGAGGGGGAGAGTGGGGGGCATTTCCAGGCAGCAGGAACCACTCCTGAGCTCAAGGGGAGAATCGGCTCCCTTTCTTAGCTTCCTTCCCTCAGACTGAGGCCTCAGGTTCAGAATGCAGTGGTGGGTAGGATAGAGAGAAGCAAGGTTAGACCTGCTCTTGCAGGGTGGGCCCTCTTGTAGGTGGTTCTGTCTTGCACATGGGCATCTCCCCACCTCCACACACATTTCCTCCTGTGTCTTCAGGATGATTGTTAGATACAGGATCTTCCCTGGCCAGCCAAGTCTCTACTGCCCCATGCAGAGGTTAGGTCAGGGGAAGGGGACTCAGCGCACCCAGAAGATGAAGGTGGAGGAAGGGAGCACAGAGGGGTGAGTGGAAGAGGATGGAGAGGAGTTTCCTAGGTCAGGGTGTCCCACCCAGGAACTGTGGTGCAGAGCCTGTCCCATCTTACCTTTGCTGTTGGGTTGGGCCAGAAGGTGAACCAAACTCTGCTACTTTCTAGAGCTGGACTAGTTCTGGGGTTTTTGCTCAGTGTTAGATGGTATGTGCCTGTGGTGTTGATGGGGACTTACGGAAAGGGCAGCCAGTGAGATGGAATGGAGGTGGAGTGCTGTGATTATCACTTACGGTGATGCCACCAGTGGGGATCATGTGAGCAATATGGGTTGTGGGTACAGAAGGGTGTCAGCTGAATCATATGTGGGGGTGTGTGTGCAGTGGTTGGTCATATGAGCAGCACATGAGTTGTGAGGACCAGAGAGGATGAGGGTGCATAGAGGGTGTGACTGTCAGGCCTGGGGGTGCTTGGCAAGGGTACAGAAAAGGCTTGGGGGGCAGCTCCCCATCTCTGATCTGAGTTTAGGGGGGATTCCCTGTGGCATTCAAGCAGCAGCCTGTGGGGATTTAGCTGTTCCATGCCCATCCCTGGCTGTGGGAAGTGGAGGGCTGAGGCTAGAGGAGGGGCAGCCCACCAGCTGGATCCAATTAGGACTCCTACCAAAAGCAAAACATGCAGACACACCCCAGTTCCCCACTGCTCTCTTCCTTGGAGGGGGATGCTGAGGCAGGGGAGAGTAGGAGATCAGGAGGCCCATGACAAGCTAGATCCAAGCAGGGACCTCTCCCTGCCCAGATGACTGCTTGAGGTCAAGTTGCCTGGTCAGCAGCAGGCATCAGCTGACCGGGGCCTTCCTTCCCTACTAGCCTCCCTTTCCTAACCCTCTGTGCTCAGTGAAAACTGCCCTTTTTAGGGTGGTGGGTGAGGAGGGCAAGAGGTGCCCCTTAGGACACCTGAAGTACCCCAACTTCTCCACCCCCAATATTGCTCCATCTGGCCCAACCTTCAGGGATAGACAGGAGTCAGGGTGGGGAAGGGTAGTCTGAGTTTTTTTCCTTGCAGTCAGTCCTGCCAGAAAACATTAGGGAGGACTTTTCATAGGGATAGGCGTTCTGGTGGTATAGTGGTTGAGTGCTTGCCTGCTAACTGAAAAGCTGGCTATTTGAATCCACTAGGATGGGCAATCCTACTTCCGTAGTGATACTGCCTCAGAAACCCAAGGAGGGGTTGCTATGAGTCAGGGCCGACTTGACGGCATATAACAACAACAACAAGGAGCTCTGGTAGCATAGTGTCTAAGGCATTTGACTGCTAACCAGAAGGCTGGCGGTTCAAACCCACTCCTTGGAAGGAAGGTTGGGCGGGCAATCGACTTCTGTAGTGATACTGCCTTGGAAACCCAACGAGGGGTTGCTCTGAGTCGGGGTTGACTGGATGGCACATAACCACCACCACAACAACAGCCGCTCCTCAGGAGGAAGATGTGGCAGTCTGCTTTCACAAAGATTACATACAGCCTTGGAAACCCTATGGGGCAGGTCTACTCTGTCCTCTAGAGTTGCTATGGGTCAGAATGGACTCGATGGCAATGGGTTTTTGACTCTTCATAGGGAACATGAGGGACCTAGAGGAACTGGACCTGCATCTGGCAGAGAACAGAGGGTGTCAGGAAATTCCTGAGGTCCTCCCAGAATTCGTCCAGCCCCTTTCGGTCCAGGCAGCCAGCTCCAAAGGGCTGGAAGAGATGAGGTAGTTCTACTTTAGTTGGCAAATTCCTTTCCATCTCTAAATATTGCTCTGACCTTGGGGTCTTGGCCCTATGCAATTCCCCAGGTATTTTTCAGCTACAAGTCCACGTGGACTTCTCACATTTCCCCTTCTCTGGATTGTGGAACTTCTTACCTCGTTTTACCTCAGTTTCCCTGAGTTTGGGACGCCCAGCCTCAGAGGACCCCCAGGGGGAGGGGCTCCACTGGTTTCCCTTGGGGTTTGGAGCCCGGCAGGGTTCGTTCTCTGGTCCCTCCTAGACTGCGGCCTCCGCCTCCTCTCCCGCCCCCTCTCCTTGCCCTCACCTACCTTCCCCGGCGAGCAGGTGGCGGGGACTGAGACGGCCTGGGAGGGCTGGAGCATCTCCGCGCGGCTCCCGACTGATGCGGCCGCCGCTGGCCCTTAGGGAGGGGCCCAGGAGAAGTCCGGGATGTTCTCTCTCCCCTCGTGACCGGGTCAGGACCGGGCTCGGAGAGGCTGGGCGCACGAGGAGGAAGAGGGAGGCAGAGGCAGTGAGCAAGCGAGAGAGCGAGCGCGCTCTGGGAGGCAGAGGACGTGAGCGTTGGCAGAGGGCGGGCGGCCGGCGGAGTTTGTATTTCCAATCTGGGCTGTTTGCGGAGGGGGGGGGTGGGGGGGCCGGCTGCTCTCTCTCCCGCCTAGCGGGGCGGGGGCTCCGGGAAGGCCCGCCGAGGGCGTGCGAGTGCCCCCCATCGGGACACTGGTGGCTCCTGGCCGAGGAGGCCGGGCCGGCTGGCAGGCGGCATCGAGAGGAGCCGCCCGAGGGTCCCCGGGGAGCCTGCTCTGGTTTCCCGGCTGCCTTCCCCTGGCCCCCACCGCGAAGCTGGCGTCGGACAGGGGGCGGGGGAGCCAGCGAGGGCCACTCAGAGTTTCCAGCGACATTTCCAGCTCGTGGGAAAGGAGAGGCTGCACGGCAGAGCCAGGACAGGGCAGGAATGATTAACGAGAACTAGTTGTGGGCTCCAGAGCCGGAGTCGAGCCAGCAACTGATACGGAGTCGGCAGCCTCAGAGAGTCCGGAGACGGGGACCGAGATGCAGACAAGCTGGGACAGAGATAAGCGGGAGACGCCGAGGGCCCCCCAGGCAGAGTGGCCCAGCAGAACAAGTTAAGGACTCTGGGAGAGATTTTGTGCTTGCGTAAACGCGAGTCCAAACATGTGCAAACACACACGCGCGCGCTCACAAACACGAAAACGCTTACACACGTACAAACACGGAGGGCAGCCCGGGAGAAAACCGGCCTCAGGGAGCAGGCCACAGGGCGCATCACGCCCCTAAGTGAGATGAAGGTGGGGTCCTTCTGGCGGGGATGAGGTTAGGAGGGTCTCGGTGTTCCCATACACCGTATTTATTTTGATCCTGCTGCTTTTCCGCTGTTCCCGTTGTTCTGGCACAGGCCCCAAGAGCCCTGCCCATTGGCTCCCTGACCTTTCTGGCTGTCCAGCGCCCTCCGCCCCCCAGCCTCTGTTTGCACATGGTCTGTTATAGAAAGTGAGGATGTTTAGTGAATGATTATTGATAATGGAAACAAACTCTGGAGTACTTCTAGCTCTTGGCTTGGCTCCCCAAACCAACCAGACACCAGCAGCAATTGAGCAACTTCGGATCCTTTTTGAGACTGAACAATTACAAACTTTGAAAACATGTAAACATTGACTGCATACCTAATGGGCGTGAGGTTTGTGTTCTGAGGCCACCATATATCTTAGAGTATGTTGAGAGTAGGGAAATGGAGTGAACAAATTTCAATCTTTACCATTCTAGATATTTTAGCTTTATCTTCTCTCTGTTCACTTGAAAGAGCTATCCCAGTATCACATACTCAACAGCCAAAGGAGATGTTTAGGGTGAGGAGGCTTGAGAGAGAGAGAGAGAGAGGGCATGTCGGCTATATTTCAGTGCCTACAGGTGTGGGATTAGTTAGCAGAAGCAGGACCACTGAGTATAAATTACAGGGAAGCAGATCCAAGGCTTCCAAGGAAGAGTTTGAGGGCAGGCAGCAGTGCCTTTCTTGCCTAAAACTTGGACGCTTAACACCCCTAGATACTACCCTCTTCCCTCCCTCAGGGACAAAGTATGTGCCCATTTCCCTAATCACCAGTTTTTCCCACCTGTCAGGGTCCTTAGGACTAGTAAGGACCACATCACTTTCATTTTCTTCCTTGTTCTCCAAAGATGGTGATGCTGAAGATCTTCCAACTCCAGGAATCCTGGCCATACACTCTCTTCTCAGGAGCAAGCTTCTTTTATTGTCTAGGGCTCTGACCTGGGCTCCAAGATAAATATTTAATGTAGAGGTTGCAGCTGAGCTGACAAAGGTCCCAACTTCCTGTTTGTCACAAAGGGAGGTGGCAGCCACCTGCAGGGAGCTGGGGACTGACTACCAGTCCCATTACTATGGGAATAGGGAGTCCAGTAAACAGCTTTGCAGAAGGAGGCGGGACAGACTCCAGACAGACCTGAGCCTTTTTCCTAAGCTGCTTTGACTCTGCGTGTCTCCTTAGGCCCCTGTTCTGGTGGGCTTATCAAACCTTTCTCAGGTCAGAACCTGCTTGCCTTGGAATCAGTGGAAACTGTCCTTCCCAGAGTCTTAGCCTATCTGCTTGGACAAAGGAGGGTCTATGACGGGATCTCTCCATTGTGTTCCATGGTGCCATCTGACCTCATAAAAGAGAGGAAGAGAGATTGGTGGGAGCATAGGGCAGGGGAGACATAGAAACATTGGCTGGTTCCTCCTTCTTTGCCCATATTTAGGGAGAATTCCTCTTCTTTGAAAACTGTGAGATAGAGGGGAAAAAAAGTAGCAAGGTCCAGAGATCCAGCTAAGAACCAGGTGTCTGATTTCTCAACTCCTCCTTCTAGCTTCAATTCTCCTTACTGCTGGACTAGCCCTGCAGCTGGCATCTTTTTAGGGAGAAGCTGAGGATAGGGAAGGTCATCCTAGATAACACTAGCTGTTGTCAACAATGGAACAGATTCCTTTCATCCCAAGGTGCTATCTCCTTGGCCTGACTCCCTTATCTTTGGACAGGGACCTCCCTCCCTGTGAGTCAGCCTCCTCTCCACCGCTGGCATTGCCTTTCGTCAGGGTGCTGCCTTGCCTTCTCAGAGCCACCTGAGCCAGAGTAAACACAGTTACATAACTGCTCTGTTTCCTTAGCAATCTGATCCCCGTCACCAGTATTCCATCCCATACACCTCCCCGCCCCTTAGGCTGCCACCTTTTGTTCTGCAGATTATCCCTCTATGGCACCCATGTTAACAGAAGCCTGTCCTTTCTCACCACTCTAAAAGATATTAGCCAAAGACTACCAGCAAATGCAGTGGCTCTTGGCATGGAGGGAAGAGGTAGGCTATTCATACAGAAATGCAGGTCACTCTGAAAACCAACCTGTCACCAGAGGAAGGATGAATGGAAAGAGGACTTAGGCAGCTTTTTATTGTAATCAGGAAGGCTAGGTGAGGAGGATAGAGCAGAGAATGCAGATTTATTTCTCAAGTGGTAAAAGGGAAGCCAGGGATCCCAAAAGACATAAATTTCGACTCTCATTTCTTGAGGATCATCTTTATCCCTTGCTGGTGTCTGGCATTCAAGTCACAGTGCTGAGCTCCATCCTGAGCAACCAAGTGGCTCCCCAGCTCTGTGCCTCAGTCCCCCACATTAGATAAAGGAACCAAAACCAAAACTCACTGCCATCAAGTCGATTCCGACTCACAGTGACCCCCATTGGGTTTCTGAGGTGGTAAATCTATACAGAAGTAGATTGCCCAGTCTTCCTTCTGTGGGGTGGCTGGTGGGTTTGAACTCCCAGCCTTCTGGTTAGCAGTCAAATGCCTTAGGCACCACGCCACCTGAGCTCATTGGATAAAGGAAGGGCATCTGCTATTCTTTTTCTTCTCCTCCTCAGGGATGGACTCTGGAATAGTCTTCAGTTAGGCTTTGAGCTGGTTTTTCATTTGTGCTCTCAGAAGAGTGCTTTCTTCTTGTCAGGGGAACTGGGCATGCAGACCAGAACAGGTTAGCAAAGAAAGCACTGTCCCTTTGGAGGAGTCTGGTCTTCTCTGGAGGAGAGATGATGAACTGAAATAGCGATAAACTAGAATCAAGTCACATCAGACCCACCAGCACAAATCTGGGCTATTTCAACCTCTGGGCTCCATCCCATTTTCCTGGGTCGTCTCCTGATTCTAGCCTGCTTCTGTTGCCAGCCAAATTCTACTGATGCTTTGTGTCAGCCACTCACGGGAACAGGAACACACAGAGGAGGCAAGAGCTATTCCCAAGCCTGGCCCATCTGGAATCCAAGTTTTTGGTCCAGTCACTGTGAAGTGAGGGATCTGTGAGAGTGAAAAGATACACAATACAGGTCAAGTATGTCAGTGTCGGGCCAGCCAGGATGAGGGAGTGAAAACCCACAGGAATAGAGTATGAGGCTTTCAGGCCTGCTTTGCACAGATCTTTCCATAGCATTCACATGATGTAACAGGCATCTATTCAGGGTTCTCAGAGTCAATCAAATCCAAACCCCGAAGGCTGTGAGAGAGTTCAGCCTTCTGCCTGATGTATCTAGCCTGTCCTCAAGGAAGCCTGTGCACTGACATCACATTGATGATCGTTCTCTTTTTTTAATAGAGCAAACAAGCAAGCACAATATGCTTGTCTTTGAGAAGAACTGAACTGTATGAACTGTTTTTAGTTCTCAGGAAAGAAGGAAAGAGCAATTGGCTGTCAGCTCTTCAGTGAGTGGATTTTATAAAGGATAAATGAGTGATGAGCTCAGAGGGAAAACTCAGCCACCTCAACTCAGCCACAAAGAAGGGCACAGAACCAGGAGGTGAAAAATTAGGTCTGTACTATCCTTCTTTCTTAGCTCAGGTATACTGAGATAAGTAAGATAAAAGGGTGATTGCTAGCCAGTGGGTACCATGAGGTAGTGCTCTGGTTTCTGAACAAAGAATATGTTGTCTTCCCACCTCCTGGAATTCTATGATGAACCTTTTCCTTAATTGCATTTTTAAAAAGACCATGTTATTGATCATTAAATCCTTAATCCTCTGTACCAACATGAAACATACTTTCTTTCCAAAACCTGAGAGTGGTGGTAAGAAGCAAAAAGTGAGACCATGTGATTACAGATATCGGGTAAGAGAGTGGGGATCAGATCCAGATACAGTGAGAGATGAGTAAGAATTTGCATTTGAGTCATTGATTACTAGGCTTTTAAACCATTTTTTACAACTCTGGGAATAAAGGGAAATATAATTTTCATCTTATGTTTAAATATAATCTCATTTTACTGAAGGTTTAAGTGAGGTATAAGGACATTGCTAAGTTAGGATGCTACTTGGATAAGAAACAATCCAAAATATATACTCAGTTTATTTTAAGTTAGAAGTCTGGACTCATTTTCTGGCCTGAGAATAGCACTGTTGCCCTTAACTGGCTAAGTAATAACTGCCTTACTTAGGTCCTGCAGTGCTGGTTATAGACTTCCCACCTCTACTGCTCTAGCCGGCAGAGTTCTCACACTGACACCTTTTCCTCTTCAGGGCCCCGAGCTTTCCCTATCTCCAGTGCTCCACTTGCTTATAACCAAAAAACCAAACCAAAGTCATTGGCATCCAGTCGATTCGACTCATAGCAACTCCTCCTCCTGGATATACAACCACAGCACCTTACATCATTCCTGCTGTCCAGAGGAATCATAAAGCTGGTGTGGCACTTCCTTTTCTTAGTAGTCTGACTCCATATTTAACTCCTCTCCAGTTTCTCCGACTTCTTCCAAGTTGGAATTCATCCATGTCTATTGTTAGGATCACATGCAGAGTTATTATGTTACTATAATAAAAAATTATTTTTGTCCTCCTTTGTAAAGACCGTAAGTTTATTGATAGGTCTTTCTTCTCTTTTTTTTTTTCAAGTAGCGGCCTCTGCTGGAGAAGCCCATGGAAGGAAATTGGACTTGAGCATGAATTAGTGGTGGGCAAAATGCCAGGAAGGTGGCCAGGGGCAAGGGAGTAGATTCTAAGTGGGAAGAAACAGAAATACTGCTGCAGTGTCAAAGTCAGTTTAAAAACAAATGACTGGAGAGATGGAAGAAAGAGGTACTTTTTATTGTGATGGAATTCCCTCCCTTGAGAGGGGAACTCCTTGACATTGTTAGAGATCAGTCCAGACCAGACATCAAACATCAGGCTTTCCCTTGGCTTCCAGAATTTTTAAGTGGGTAACAACCAAATGTAAGCGTCTGTACCAGGAAATAATGGAAATAAAGACAGAGGGAGCCAATAAATCACCACTTAATTTTAAAGGTTTTTCTAACCTTAAAGATGACTTCCAATTTACAGTAAGAAAGTTCTAACAAATTCATTTCTTGTTCACAAGAAAACTTATTAAATTATTTCCGCTGATAAATAACATCACCATCATTTTCTTTAACAAACTGAAAGCGAGAAGCAGCAGGTAATCTCTAAGCACAAGCAAATAACACAGCATTCAAAGAATCTAAAAAAACATAAAGTAAAGGTTGCATCACCAGTCTTATGTAGCTGACCATCTCATTTAGGAAGCAAAACCAGTACTCTTTCTGGAAAATGTCTGTGGACATTTCTTTTTTTTGCTAAAATAGCTATTTATTGCTGCATAACAAGTTAAAATTTAGAGGCTTGAAACAGCAGGAATTTATTATTTTGCAGTTGTGTGGTTCTTCATCCAATGGCTCAGTGTCTTTATTATTATTATTTTTAAAATTTATTATTTATTGTGATTTGGGTGAAGATTTACAGAGCAAATTCACTTTCCATACAGCAGTTCACATATACTTTGTCTCATGTCATTGACTACAGTTTACCACAATGCAACAGCTCCCCTCCCACTTCCTCCCCGTAGTTACCTCTTCCCAGTGTCCATCCCTCCATACTCTCCTGCCCCCT